TGATGCCATTATTTTTTCACTAATTCCTAATTATCTCCCCTTGAAAGAGGGCGTGGCCCTTCATTTGAATAAACTTGAATCCCCTTCACCCAAGGATACTTTGTGGCAAGTTTGGTTGAATTCAATGGCCCAGTGGTTCTTGAGAAGAAGTTGAAAATGTGAAAAGTTTACAGACGGACAGACGGACGATGGACAAAAAGTGATCAGAAAAGCTCACTTGAGCCTTCGGCTCAGGTGAGCTAAAAAGTGAAAAATTTACAGATGGATGGACGAACAGCTAGACAGACAGAAGGACGGACAACGGGTGATCAGAAAAGCTCACTTGAGCTTTCAGCTCAGGTGAGCTAAAAAGAGCTAGGTTTACTTTATGCTTAAAATGGCCCTGTAGAAATGCTAATTCATTGACTAACATTCTATGTTCCATTTCAAACATCAAGATAAAGTAGAGACTTAGTGCTTCATTTCCTATTAAAAATTTTTCTCCAGAAAGTCGGGTATTGGAAAACAGGCTTTATGACATTGCAATGTTCTTGAATTTTATGGAAAACAGGTATATTTGAGTACTTTCAGAGAAAAAACATAAGTAATCATAGATTACGAAGCTCACCTCGACGAATGTTATCAATAAGTAAGGCAAATTTCACATCATATTTTTTTCTAGTTAGGGAACATCCCAAGATCAATATCCTTGCAAGTTTGATTTAAGTAGGACTTGTAGTTACTTGGAAATAGACCTGCTAAAAAAACTTTTAACCTGTTTAATCAAGAAAATTTTGGTCAGTTCCAACATCCAAAGCAAGTCTGGAAGTTTTCATCCTTAGATGCACCATCTATGCAAGTTAATCATAACAGGCCATAATATTATATAGCTACACCAAAAAATTACCCTGGTCACTCATCTGGATAAAGTAGGTCAGATTCAGAATCCAAAGCAAGTCTGGTAGTGTCCATCCCTAGATACATCATCCATGCTAATTTGGTTAAAATATGGCTAAATTCACTCATGTTGAAAATCTAGGTCAGATCCAGCATCCAAAGCAGGTTGGTTAGTGTCCATCCCTAGATGCATCATCCATGAAAGTTTGGTCCAGGTAGGGCTTATAGTTACTTGGGAATGGACCTGCTCCAAAAACTTGAACCTGGTCACTCATCTGGAAAATCTAGCTCAGATCCAGCATCCGAAGCAAGTGTGGTAGTGTCCATCCTTTAGATGCATCATCCATGCAAGTTTGGTCAAGGTAGGGCTTATAGTTACTTGGGAATGGACCTGCTCCAAAAACTTGAACCTGGTCACTCATCTGGAAAATCTAGCTCAGATTCAGCATCTGAAGCAAGTGTGGTAGTGTCCATACTTTGGATGCATCATCCATGCAAGTTTGGTCAAGGTAGGGCTTATAGTTACTTGGGAATGGACCTGCTCCAAAAACTTGAACCTGGTCACTCATCTGGAAAATCTAGCTCAGATCCAGCATCCAAAGCAAGTGTGGTAGTGTCCTTCATTTGGATGTCATCCATGTAAGTTTGGTCAAGGTAGGGCTTATAGTTACTTGGGAATGGACCTGCTCCAAAAACTTGAACCTGGTCACTCATCTGGAAAATCTAGCTCAGATTCAGCATCTGAAGCAAGTGTGGTAGTGTCCATACTTTGGATGCATCATCCATGCAAGTTTGGTCAAGGTAGGGCTTATAGTAACTTGGGAATGGACCTGCTCCAAAAACTTGAACCTGGTCACTCATCTGGAAAATCTAGCTCAGATCCAGCAATCGAAGCAAGTGTGGTAGTGTCCATCCTTTGGATGCATCATCCATGCAAGTTTGGTCAAGGTAGGGCTTATAGTTACTTGGGAATGGACCTGCTCCAAAAACTTGAACCTGGTCACTCATCTGGAAAATCTAGCTCAGATTCAGCATCTGAAGCAAGTGTGGTAGTGTCCATACTTTGGATGCATCATCCATGCAAGTTTGGTCAAGGTAGGGCTTATAGTTACTTGGGAATGGACCTGCTCCAAAAACTTGAACCTGGTCACTCATCTGGAAAATCTAGCTCAGATCCAGCATCCAAAGCAAGTGTGGTAGTGTCTATCCTTTGGATGCATCATCCATGCAAGTTTTGTCAAGGTAGGGCTTATAGTAACTTGGGAATGGACCTGCTCCAAAAACTTGAACCTGGTCACTCATCTGGAAAATCTAGCTCAGATCCAGCAATCGAAGCAAGTGTGGTAGTGTCCATCCTTTAGATGCATCATCCATGCAAGTTTGGTCAAGGTAGGGCTTATAGTTACTTGGGAATGGACCTGCTCCAAAAACTTGAACCTGGTCACTCATCTGGAAAATCTAGCTCAGATTCAGCATCTGAAGCAAGTGTGGTAGTGTCCATACTTTGGATGCATCATCCATGCAAGTTTGGTCAAGGTAGGGCTTATAGTTACTTGGGAATGGACCTGCTCCAAAAACTTGAACCTGGTCACTCATCTGGAAAATCTAGCTCAGATCCAGCATCCAAAGCAAGTGTGGTAGTGTCTATCCTTTGGATGCATCATCCATGCAAGTTTTGTCAAGGTAGGGCTTATAGTTACTTGGGAATGGACCTGCTCCAAAAACTTGAACCTGGTCACTCATCTGGAAAATCTAGCTCAGATCAAGCAATCGAAGCAAGTGTGGTAGTGTCCATCCTTTAGATGCATCATCCATGCAAGTTTGGTCAAGGTAGGGCTTATAGTTACTTGGGAATGGACCTGCTCCAAAAACTTGAACCTGGTCACTCATCTGGAAAATCTAGCTCAGATCCAGCAATCCAAGCAAGTGTGGTAGTGTCCATCCCTAGATGCATCATCCATGCAAGTTTGGTCCAGGTAGGGCTAATAGTTACTTGGGAATGGGACTTGCTCATAAAACTTTAACTGGGACGCCAACGCTAACACCGACGGTATAGCCTAAGCTCATCTCGACTTCGTCGAAGTGAGCTAAAAATAATATGAGCGCACTCCTTGATCTAAAAAATAAATCATGTTTAATAATCCTCAGAAATAGTTCTATCATTTTATAATTGCATATTTTAGATCAGAGGTTGCACTCTATATGAAATATTGATAAATAGCTTAAAAGATTGTCTGTTTTTGTAGATTTTTTTAGGATATGATGAAAATGAAGCAATTCATGACGTCATAATGCAATCACTAGCCAGAAAATTACATCATTTTTGATAGATACACAATCACCAATGGTCTAAATGATACTTAATGCATTGTCAACTTAAACTAAGCAGTTTCACTTTTTCAGAAATTCACAAGAAGCCATCCATAGATTGGCATGAAAATGTACATGCATATACTATCCCACAGTAAATTGATACTTTTACATATATGAACAGTCCTGAAACAATAAACTTTATATGCTTGATCAATGCAGGATTCTAGTGAAAAAAGAATGGGCCCAAAAAACTTGATATCCACTCAGAATATTTAGGTGATATATATATACAGTTTCCAAAGCATGACTGATATCACAAATCATTCTATATATTTCTTGAAATTACTATAGAATGGCCTACTACAAAATCTAAATGCAGTAGGTGAGCTCCTTGCTCTGGAGTGCACTAAATCAATAACTATAATATGTGTCGACTACAAATGAATATGATATGTTTATCAAGATACCCATAGAGGTAAATTTTGGTATCTCAAAATTGTTTATGTCTACAACCTGGATATGTTAAAATCTGAAAGTGGTTGTAATAGTATTTCAATACTATATAGAAACTTGGATTTGTTAACCATCCAATACCAGCTACACCCACCCCCACCCCTGTAACCCCCCCCCCCCTTTTATCTTGACATGTATTAACACTTTTAAGAGCAAAATTTACTTTGTGAAACCTTGGATGCAAATACAGGTACTCAATTGTGAAATCTCAACAACCTGGATTTCTCAGCATTTTCTGATAATCCTGCCAACAGATGTTCATCCAGGCATCTTGAGGCATGCACAATTACATAAACATGTTAGGGGAAAAAACTATTTTACCAGTATCAATAGTGTTTGCAGTCTGTGGTAAAGCAGCTTATCTTAAAGGTGCTTGGACACAGATTTGATGTTAATATTTTCTCAAATTTTCTGTATAATTTCATGATTTATATGTTGCTATAGCATTTCATACTAAAATATAATAAAAATCTTATTTCATCTCGAAGTTATTGAAACTTCAAATTTCTGGACGCGTTTGATTGACACATCCTTGCACTTTCACAAATTTTAATTTTATTCTTAATACTTAAGAAAAGTGGCAATTTTGTTGTGTATTGATGAAAAATATTAAAACTATAATCCAGAAAATTCAGAGTAGAAATGTTCGAAAGCAAACCCCACTCACAGTATTGTCAGTCCGTGCTCAGTGGTGTGTGCAGACTTTAACAATTGAACACACCCGGTGGATCGTAAACATTAACAATAACAGAGCTCGTGCCCTGTTTACAAAAACAGTTTACGTTTCACGGGTGTATTCAATTTGTTAAACTCTGTACACAACACTGAGCACGGGCTGATGATATAAGTGAGGGGATTTGCTTTCGCACATTTCTACTCTGAATTTTCTGGATTATAGATGTAATGTTTTTCATTAATACACAACAAAATCGCTTCTTTTCTTAAATATTAAGGATAAAGATAAAATTTGTGAAAGTGCAAGAATGTGTTAATCAAACGCGTCCAGGAATTCGTAGTTTAAATAATTTCCAGATAAAATAAGTTTTTAATTATATTTTCATGTGAAATGCTATTGCAATATATAAGTCGAGATATTATACAGAAAATTTGAGAAAACATTAACTTCAAATCTGTGTCTTAGCACCTTTAATGTCAAAAGATGACTTTATTATGAAATGTGATAATAAAATTGCCTATGAATGCAAATCCATACTTCATATAAATAAATATCACACTTGGAATCTAGTAGTGCCAGTAATAAATACACTTCTACAAAATGCCAGTGATAAAGTGCATACCTATGCTTTCAGATGTGCTGGATACAGAGACTGTACATGCAGGTATATTTGTGATCATATCATGCTTCTCTCTCATCTCAGCTGAGGTCACACCTGACATAAACAGGTCAATTCATTTTCTAACTATCAAATAAAACATATTATTCCTGTACTAAACAGAATGAAAAAAGCCAGTATACTGAAATAAACACATTATTTAATTTGCAAAGCTATGCCAAGGCATATTTCTGCGATTGAAAAACACACCTGTTTTTCACTCAATTTTCTTCTTCAGTACTCATCAATAAAATTGAAATTTCTTATATTTATATTCGTTATAGATTAATAATTTATTCACTATAAAAATTTCACTGAAAAACTCAAGGATTTTGATTTCCTTGTAGCTTGTTTATTGCCATGATGGCTAGTAAAATGGGTATGCAGTAGCAAACACACATTTTAAGGTTTTATGGTATTTTTGACAATTGTGGCAATTAACCAATAAACTTTTGAATTATTCTGATGTTTCACATTGTAGTTACTGGCTATGAATAATATTTTTAATGAAAAGTGCTTCAAATATGCTTTATAATAATACCCAAATTTTCAATTTGCCTATCCAGTTTAATAAATTACTTGTCTACATTCACTTGGGACTGAAACAGAGAAAACAATTTTGAGAGCACTGACAAGTCGCACAGACTATTCAATTTAACACCAAAAATGGAAAATGCTGTCAATTTATTGCATAGAAACTCAGCAGAAATATAGTTTGATGAACAGTTTGTACCATATAACAATTTACAAGTATCATCTGTGAAAAGAATATCACATGCTGAAATACGATTTTGTGTTTTTTTGTTTTTGTTTATTCAAAAATTTGACATAGTTTACAACCATCAAATATGGCTAGGCCGGTAGACACTTTCAAACTACATGTATAAATAGGCAAAGTATACCATAAGAGAGTGGGCAGGCTCCAATTAAGCAATTAAGCATGTTTTATAGAATGTAACCCTTGATTCAAATTTCAAATCTAATAGTGTTGTCACTCAAAGCATCACTATTTTGGTCGTAGAATATACTTTCAAGCGAGATTTGCAATAAGAAGGAATGCTTGCATATAAACATGACTCATCAAGGCCCCAATATTCTTGTAGAGGATTTTGAAAGATTTTATATGTTCTTTTAGTAAAATGTTGATTCCCTACTGCACCCAAATCTAGCCAAAATCTAGCCAAATTTTGATCAGAGAAACCCTTTTGGTTCAAGAAAGCTTTTAAGAGAGCAAAATTTATTACAGCATTTTGTGAAAAATTACAATAAGTATAAAGATGTAAACTCCTCCGAGGAAAAAAAGAGATTTTGAACCAACAAGTACATGTAAATGCTAGAAATACTATGTTGTGAAATAAACCCAGAGAGCGAGACTTGTTTTGTACCTTTGAGTCTCTCCACCAGATCTTTGGGATCAGCCAGGTTTCCATCACTGCTGCTCTTTATATAGAGTGCTGAGTCTGAGGCATTGGAGGGCTGGCGGGAGTGGGAGGGGGAGGGCTCCCCACTCAGGGAACGCTGCTTACTTAAATCAGGCCTAGCCTTACTACCACCAGCACCTTAACACAAGCAAGGTAATTCTGTATTCATTTATTATCTGTTAATATTTTCCTGATGAATCTCTCTTTTTTATATAGTAAAATAAAGCTTGGACTTCCAAATCACTTCAACATATCAATGGCATTCAAGATATCAATGTTTGAGATATGGAAGTTCAACTGTATATGTTTTGCATATTTGAGAGAAACCAAATGAAAATACTTACTATATATATATTCCATGACATTAAAATTGACTTCAAGAAAAATCAATCTAGTTCAAGTCTTTTTATTTTCAATTTTTCTTTAAATAAAATATCAAGGATGTAGAAAATGTGTAAGCAGCATTACCAATATTGGATTACTGTTTTATAAGATCGGACAGTTGTTTGCTAAGTTTGATATAATACTAACCATCACTTTTGTATTTTCCCCTTTCAAATGGGACAGCAGTATTGGTAAAAGCCTTGTCACTGGGAGGTTCATTTTTACCCCACGAGCGAGAAAAACTTTTATCATTGTTCTTGTTCCTTGGCATATCTATTTCAAATTATATAAAAATATTGAATTTCAGGAAATGTATTCTGAAAGAATAGAGTTGTGATGTATATATTGACATTCAATACATAAAAAAATCAGGGCAAGTTTATATATACCCAATCCAAAAAATGAAAAAAGGACAGATACAATTTATGATAATATTTTCATGTTATGCACCTTGACTCTTTCCTCTCCGTCTCTTCTCTTTTTGTTCCGTCAGTCGCTGCAGTGGCAGATCTGTCAGATCAAGTCCATACACCTGCTTGGCCAAAACTTTGGTCAGCGTGTCCATAGTGTTCTGTTGATGAATGCAATTTATCTGATATTCTTCATTTCCTTCAACTTCATGTACCGGTATATGTTTATGCTATAAATTCAAACTTCACTACTCTCTAAATATATAATCCTCTGCATCTTACTCCAAAATTTTTTTGCAATTTTCACTCATTTTCAACAGGATGAATGTTCTGGTACTGTTTTATAAAATGACACATTTATTATGTCTTTTTCTTTGAGAAAATCCAAATTTTACCTATGCAAACCTCTTTTTCATCATGAATATTAAAAAAAAAAGAATTTGAGATGCAACATTATATATAATGATTTTACAACACTGTTATCAGTACAGGAAGTATGATATAATGACACTAACCGCCCATTGTCTGATGAGTTCCGACCAGCCAGATAGAGAGGACAATACTTCCAGGAACTGGTCCCACAACTGACCACTCACACACACATTCAGATTGGCTCTTATCCATGTCACAATGATTGTCTGAAATATTTTACATTACGTTATTTCTGGTCATTTAAAAACATTTTTTTTTCAAATGAGGTTCAACATTGGCATAATATTACATACCGGTAAATCTTTTATCAATTGACTAAGCTAAACAAAGTCTGGAAGAAAGTTTGTATTCAATGAAAGAACTGCATGTGAAAGGAGATGCACATGGATATGTATTTCCTTTAGAATTGTATGGGTTCTCGGCCAGTACTTAGTGTGTCTTTTCAAAGCACTGAGGCTACCCCACATTTTTCTAGGTTTAAAATCAGTTCAAAAGAAGAATTCCTCTACCTTCTTTTGAACAGATGAAACCACAATACATAGAGCATGTATGTAATAGATATAAAGCATACTTGCTATTATCTTGATCTTCAAAAAGATACCTGAAATATTGGTGTTGCCAGTCTTTTTTGAAGATCAGTGGCCCTCTTGTCAAAGATAGGAACATCTCCCAAAACCCCTGTAGTTATACACAGCAGCACCTGTAGCATCTTCTCCCTAATTAAAAAAAAATAAAGGATAAAATTGGCATTCCCTCTCAAAATTTGAACTAACTTTAAAGAAAAAAAACTATATACAGGTACATGTAGGCATATTTTTTTTCTGCATATCATAGAAGAAATTTGATTAATATACAATAAATTCTGTACATATACACTTACTCAGTAACATAAATTCAAATCACTCATTCACTATAAAAATTCAAAGTATTCTATTTGTTCCAATAATTTACCATGTTTTCTGTTCCATCTTAATATTCATGACTAGATATCTGTAGATGTTTATAATTTTCTTGCATAAATCAACCTGGAAAGAAATACCAAACAAGAGGCCCAAGGGCCTTAACGGTCACCTGAGTATAATACAACAATTTAGAGGATCCATAGAGTATAAAATGAACTGAAAGGTGAAGCTTTGTTGCCCAAAAGCAAGAAAAATAGGATGATCAGGATCAACAAAATAATTAAGCTAGTATTCATTGATAGTTTATAAATTAGGTTCTAATCTGTTCCCCATTTATCACTATCACTATACAGTATATTAAAAACCTATCAGTGCTTCTGTACTATTTAATTTCTTGTTGCAATCTCTTACATTGGCCTCTCTTGATCTTTGATGAACATTTAATAAGACAAGTTATTTTTGTTCCATTTTTATTTATCTGTTACTTACAAGTCTACCTGATCATTAAAACTATGAAAATACTTTCTGTATTATACAATAAAAATTCTTGCATAATTCTCTTATTCTATTAACCTTTCAAGTACATTGTTTACAGTGATTAATTATCAAAAGTAAATGGCAAAGGGGAATAACTCCTCTCAGAATACAAATTAATAGAGCCCTGGCCAGGACCAGAACACTTGAACAAATGGTCCAGATGTTAAAAAATCAGGTAAAAATACCCTTCCTTGTTAAAACTTTTAATCTTTTTGCCTCTGATATGCCCAAGTGCAGAGAAAATTTTTAAAGAAATAATGCATTTTTACTACAGATTCACTATATTATCAATAGAGCCCCCTCCCCACCAAGGAACACTAGAGTCTCTCACCCTGGGACCAGAAGTTTGCTCATAAGTAATCACTTTGTTTATCTGCTTAACACTAAGGAGCAGACAGGATTATTTAATAGAATTAATGCATTTTCACTATATTATCAAGAGCCCCACCCTTATACCAGCACATCTGACCCGGGTCATGCAATTCACTACTCTTGAAGAAGCACTCTTGCTCACCATAACTATATACTTAGCTTCTTTGCTTTTTAACCAGAAGCAGAAAAGAATATTTTCAAAGAAATTTTGCTTTTTCACTATATATTGAAAAGAGCCCCCCCCCTCCAAAACCTTTTCACTAGAACCCTTGACCCTGGGGCCATGAAATTCACAAATTTGGAAAAGGCATCCTTGTGTATCATAACAATGTATTTAGTTTGTTTAAATAGTACCCAGGGGCAGAGAAGAACATTTTCAAAGAAAAAATTCACCTTCACTATAGGATCTATAAAAGCCCCATCCTAGAACCAGAACCCCTGTCCCTGGGGCCATGAATTTCACAATTTTGGAAGAGGCATCATTGCTTATCATAACATTGTACTTAGTTTGTTTCAAAAATACCCAGGAGCAGAGAAGAAGATTTTTAAAGCATTAATGCATTTTCACTATATAATAAATAGAGCCCGGCCCTAACATCAGAACCCCTGATCCAAGGGTCATGAAAATCACTATTTTTGGAAGAGTCACCCTTGCTAATATCATAACTATGTATTTAATTTGTTTCAATAATACCCAGGAGTAGAAAAGAAGATTTTCAAAGAAATAATGCACATTCACTATATGATCTTTATAGCCCCGCCCAAGCACTAGAACCCCTAACCCTGGGGCCATGAATTTCACAATTTGGTAGAGTCACCCTTGCTTATCATAACTATGTATTTAATTTGTTTCAATAATACCCAGGAGTAGAGAAGAAGATTTTCAAAGAAATAATGCACATTCACTATATGATCTTTATAGCCCCGCCCTAGCACCAGAACCCCTGACCCTGGGGCCATGAATTTCACAATTTTGGTAGAGTCACCCTTGCTTATCATAACTATGTATTTAATTTGTTTCAATAATACCCAGGAGTAGAGAAAAAGATTTTCAAAGAAATAATGCACATTCACTATATGATCTATACAGCCCCACCCTAGAACCAGAACCCCTGACCCTAGGGCCATGAATTTCACAATTTTGGTAGAGTGACCCTTACTTATCATAAGTATGTATTCAATTTGTTTCAAAATACCCAGGAGTAGAGAAGAAGATTTTCAAAGAAATAATACACTTTCACTATATGATCTATATAGCCCCCTCCCCCCCAGCAACAGAACCCCTGACCCTGGGGCCATGAATTTCACAATTTTGGTAGAGTCACCCTTGCTTATCATAACTATGTATTTAATTTGTTTCAATAATACCCAGGAGTAGAGAAGAAGATTTTCAAAGAAATAATGCACTTTCACTATATGATCTATACAGCCCTACCCTAGAACCAGAACCCCTGACCCTAGGGCCATGAATTTCACAATTTTGGTAGAGTGACCCTTACTTATCATAAGTATGTATTCAATTTGTTTCAATAATACCCAGGAGTAGAGAAGAAGATTTTCAAAGAAATAATACACTTTCACTATATGATCTATATAGCCCCCTCCCCCCCAGCAACAGAACCCCTGACCCTGGGGCCATGAATTTCACAATTTGGTAGAGTCACCCTTGCTTATCATAACTATGTATTCAATTTGTTCCAATAATACCCAGGAGTAGAGAAGAAGATTTTCAAAGAAATAATGCACTTTCACCATATGATCTATATAGCCCCCCCCCCCCAGCACCAGAACCCCTGACCCTGGGGCCATGAATTTCACAATTTTGGTAGAGTCACTCTTGCTTATCATAACTATGTATTTAATTTGTTTCAATAATACCCAGGAGTAGAGAAGAAGATTTTCAAAGAAATAATGCACTTTCACCAAATGATATATATATCCCCGCCCTCGCAACAGAACCCATGACCCTGGGGCCATGAATTTCACAATTTTGGTAGAGTCACTCTTGCTTAACATAACTATGTATTTAATTTGTTTCAATAATACCCAGGAGTAGAGAAGAAGATTTTCAAAGAAATAATGCACTTTCACTATATGATCTATATAGCCCCGCCCTAGCACCAGAACCCCTGACCCTGGGGCCATGAATTTCACAATTTTGGTAGAGGGCTCAATGCTTATTACAATCATGCCAACAGTTTGACTGCTTGATGTCCAGGAGTAAAGAAGAAGATTTTTAAAGATTGCATTAATTTTGGTGGTTTTAGCCCCACCCCTCAGGCCCCAGGGGGGCAGGGACCATGATATTCAAAAATTTTGTTCCCCTTCATACATAGATGCCATATGCTAAAATTGGCTGAAATTGGTTCTGCGGTTTCAGAGAAGAAGCTGAAAATGTTCAAATGTTAACACACGACACACGACGGACGACGACGGACGAAAACAGATAGCAATAGGTCACCTGAGTGACTCAGGTGACCTAAAAAATTGACTTGCACAAGTTTATGTATGTATGAAATTCATACAAAATAGATATTTTTGAAAATGTTCTTTTCCATGCACTATCTCTTTATATTACAAAAATGTACCCAAGGAAGTGTAAAAACTTTTTTCACCTGTTCTGACATTGCATTCTTGTCATCAGTTTGCAGTAGAAACACATTGGCTGAATTAACAATGAAGACTTGCAGGACTTTCTGTATTCCTGCTCTGACATCATTTAACCTTCCTCCATCTGCAAGGTCGCAGATGGCCCCAAGATAAGAGGCATTCCGGATACGAGAGTTGTTAATGGAATCTAGTGATGGTAGGGACTTGGAGAGATCTTTAGTCTGAGGAGCAGATTCCTGAAAAAAAGAGATAAGCTACAGATACTTACCATAATTACTTTTATCACATTGCAAGAAAGTCTATAAGTTAAACTACATATTGGCTAATTCACTCCACCATGGATTTAATAAGTCTGCAATTATTGATATAATTTCTGTGAAGGCAATGTTTCTTGATTACAAAACTTGTGAACAGTAGCTGGTAAAATAGTGTTATACAATATTTTCTCAGTTATTACACGGTCACCTCTAGACTATTGTAAACCTACAGTATAAATGTTTAGCACTGAGTTCTTAATGTACACTTTTGATACAGTTGAACTTGGATATCTCTAACACCACTATCTCGAATACCATGGATATGTTGAGGTCCCAAACACTTATTTCTTAAAGTATTTTACCTTGGATTCCTTGAATCCTCAGATATCTTGAAGTATTTTCTTGGTCCCATCAAGTTCGAGATAAAGAGATATGACTGTACTTTGTTACAGTTTTTCACTACTGGGTATTTCTTCTGGGTTGAACATTTTTAAAATTTGAAACTCTATCTCATACATATCTAAATTTGCCAAATTTTTTTTAGTAGCAGTATTTTTTCACGACCCCCTCCCCCTTCCATAATTTTATGACTGTTTTCAGTTGACCAGATACTATAGATGTATTATATACATGTATGTTATAGATAGGAAGTTCACAAGGTTTAAATCAAAATGATTCAACATTCAAAAATTCTTGTTGGACAAAAAAGTATCACATTATAAAGAAACATGAATGATGTTAAATGAAATAGGAAACAGCATTCTCTACAAGGCAATGATCATCATACATACATCTGAAGAATCCTCCTCCAAGATATCAGATAAGCTGCTATGGTGATATTCTGGTGCATGACCAAAGCCTATATCGGAGGGTTCTTGCATGAAGATAGGTTTTTGGTCAGCATGCTATGTAAGGAAAAACAGCATTCATTTTATGCACAAGAGGTTCATTAAAAAAGACTAAGAGCTGATAAATGTTAGTAAATAGTGTCCAATGATCTATCATGTTAAAGTGAAAGGTACTTGCATTAGACTAAATATTTCTAAATTTACAACATCCGTGCAATATATTTTGTAAGTAAAATGCAGTTATTTCTAACATTCCAATAAATCATGCTATACATTTACAAATGTATAATTTTACACACATTGCCATTCAACCATCTCCCTTTCCTCTGGCAACAGTTCAAAATAATTTATTCTGACACAATAATTAAGCTCTGTCAAAGAAGAGGAAAATGTCATTGACCTTGTTTTCTATTTTTCATGATATATATTTCAATGTTATGTTCTAAATGGGAACAATGAAATACCCATACATGTCATCTTTCATTAAAAAAAAAACAAATCATAATTTATTTAAATTACATACACATGCGAGGGGCATTTCAAAAGTTCTGGCAACTGGTGTGCGGTAAATTAATGAGCGTCATTATCATAAATTAAATTATATCAATCCCTCAAAATAGTCTCCGTTGACCTGGACACACTTTTTCAGTCTTGAAATCCACATGGAAAATGCTGCCCTATAGTCCTCTTTCGGTATACGCTTCATACACTGGAATACGACACTTCCGACTGCATGACGACTTTCAAATCGCCGTCCTCGGAGGGCTTCTTTGATAACGGCATTCAACCAAAAATCGCATGGAGCTAGGTCAGGACTGTAGGGTGGATGTGGTAAAACGGCAATACCATTTTCCTTTAAATATTTGGTTACTACCTCTGATCTATGGGCAGGTGCGTTGTCATGGAGGAGCTTTACTCCTCTAGTGCTGGTTGTTGGTCAGGTCGTTTTATAGTGCTCTACAACCTTAGACAAGACATTCTCTGCATAAAATTGACCAGTAACACTGCTGTGTTCTGGAACTGGAACTTGAGTAACAGGGCCTTTAGAATCAAAAAATAAGGCGTACATTACTCTCCGGACAGACCGGTTTCTGCGTGCAATTTGAGGCCTTGTATCATTTTCACCGATCCAAACTTTATTATTGAGCTTAGGTTCCGCTTCAAAAAAATATATCCATGTTTCATCACCAGTTACAATCTCATTTATTCGCCTTTGGTCACAATCTTCATAAATTGTTAGTAACTGTGAAGCCATTTCTACCCGGATGCGCTTTTGCTCTTCCGAGAGAAGATGCGGCACCCATCTAGCACAGACTTTCCTAAGCTTTAAGTTTTCCTTTAAAATACGAAAAACTGCTGACGAATTAATGTCAGTTAAGTCTGCTATTTCCTCAACTGTATATCTAGCATCATCAGCTATCGTATTTTGAACAGCGACGATTTCTTTTTCGCCATATGCACAAACTGGACGCCCCGAACGGGGGTCATCTTCAATTGATTTTCTACCCTCTTTAAATTGAACTACCCATCTTGCTATTGCTCGATATGAAAGAGCATGCTCTCTATATACTACATCTAAATCGGCTTTTATTTCTGTTGCCGTAAAGCCAAGCAATGAGCGAATTTTGCAATACACTCTTTGCTCAACAAAAAAATTGTTCTCCTTATCAGTCAATTTTACGCCCAGTATACAGAGTATACCTAATTATGACGTCATTTTAGCAGACCTATACGTCATTTTGAATGTAAAATGACGTCACTACTAATGCATATATGCAAAGCTTTACAGTGGTATCAGAGTCATTTTAATCCGTTACGTAGTTAAAATTTTATATACCAGTTGCCAGAACTTTTGAAATGCCCCTCCGTATATCCGTTTTTTTAATAAATTTAACAAAACTAAAGCCTTTGAATGGATTTATAAAATTGTTCTCAATCAGAATAATATTCTATTCCTAAAAAAAAAATTAGAGCCAGAAATGAGTCAATGTAAGACAATATTGACACTCTTCTCTTGTTTAAACACACATATGAAATAATCATCCCATTCCAAACACATGCCTGATCATTAGCATTCCACACTACACAGCCTATACATTACCTGAAACCAGTCCTTGTAAACACTGATGACTGTTTTGATTGATTTAGACTGGTTCAAGGAAAACAAAAATGCCTGGAAGTAGAAAAATGGCCATTTTTAATAAGATTATGAATGCTTAACAAACTAAAGACTGATTCAAGTTCTGAAAGCCATGTATCTTTTTTTCATAGTTTAACCTCCACTTGTTTTGCTGCATATTAAAACCATGAAACTAAGAATATGGTGAAATTACATGAGAGATGGAGCGCATACCTATAATTATAATGAAAACAAAACTGCAAGGTCAATTTTTGTACAAAACAACTTAATACGTTATAAATTGCAAAACATGATTAGATTGATCGAATGTCAACATCCTGTATGTTGGCCTGAAGTTTCAAACACCAGATTAATGCCATAATAAACAAATTCCTTAATTCTCATCCCTGCCCGCCCCAATTTTTTACCCCAACCTCGATTTTTTTTTATTTGTGTTTTTCTTCATCTTAGTTTTGATCGGGATCGGTAGTCCATTTACCATTCAACTTTTATTTTATATTCCATGAATTTCAGCGTGATTTTGACAGCTGATAAAGTGGTAATTGCTGTAATATGTATTAAAGAAGGATCAGTGTGAAAGATTGATGAGGATGTGTAGTAAGAGATATGTATATGTAAATGGACCTCTACTATGACTTTTATTTGGGCATAATAGATAAATCTGCACTGACTGATCACGTCAACAAAAAATCTTTACAATGAAAGAAATAAAAAATATAAAACAAAAAAATTTGGATGAGAATCTAGAAATCTTTTTATTATGGCCTAAGCTGACCAGGATTATTCTAAGAACACCTGCATTTTCACTGTAATAGATAAATAAAATGGGTTAAATAATTTAAAACCCACATTTTAAATCTTTTGGTGATAATCAAATACTGTAAATGTATTATATTTAGCATGTATGATATTTGGTGGAAATTGATTATTCAACAAATTGGCATAGTTTTGATTTAGGGCATTTCTGAATGTGCTAGATATACATGTATAAATCTACCTATAAAAACATTAAGCTTTGTACTTGATTAAGCGGATGCTGCTTTCCTCCAAAACCACTAAAAAGAATACACAGCCAAATGTAATATGTTTACAGTACCTAAGCGGTCATATTATGTACACAAATGTTCACTTCAATGTCACAATAGTTAGCATGTGCCTGAAAGTTTGCAACTTCTAGTATTTGCAATTATCGGGGGTTGTTTTTGGTACACACATATATTTTTTACATAGAGAGGTTTGGAAGTCGTTGTGTGAATAATGCCATTTCAATATTACTATCAAACTAATTACATGTAAATGTAACATTACTCAAATTTCTTCAATTATACATAATTAAGACAAAATAAAACTATCGTTTCTTAAAATATGTAAAATAAAGGCAAAGTAAGTAAATAAGTAATAATTATCATCATATGTCAATTTTTAAAATCTTTTATGTGGTGCTTGTCTTGTCTGTGTACCTGTCTAAAGGATTCATGAATAATATTAATGTTCTCCCGACTGGAAAATAAAACTGATCGAACAATCTCATTTTCATCTTCCCACTCCTCATAGCAGAGACTAGATGTCATGGAATCGAGCTCAGAGTGATGTGAACCCGTGGACAGTGTGCTTGCGTTACTTCCTGGCATGTTTTCTGCTGTTGTCACCATTGGTTGGTCAGTGGCTGTTATGTCCTCCTCTGAACCAACTGTCTCAGGAACCTGACTATTGAGTATAAAAGGCAGCAAATGTACTACACAACTTATAAAAAGAAAATAATACATACATCTTTTTCGAACAGTAAAAAATTTTACAGTATATTCCCATTTTATGCTAATTAATGGAATAAGCTGCAAAGTTTTAGTATTTACTGAAATAAAGCTGAGAACAAGGTAAGTGCATGTAAATCCCAGTCTACGTGAAAGTCTTAAATTTTTACAGGACATAAGGTCTGGCTAAAATATTGTTTTACCAGACCAAGCATTTACTTACCAGATCGACCTTTTTTCATCGAATTCATACATCATTGATTATGTATTACTGTTAAATAGGTCAAATAAAGGATATCTGTGGAAAATAAGACCATGTGCACATGTAAATTCAGATATTTTTTGCCTTATTTTTTTATCAGACAATCAGTCCTGAATCCTGACACTTTTTACCAACCTAAACCAAATTTTACCAGTAAAAAACATGTGACTTTCGCATAGACTGAAATCCTCAGAAACAGAATAAGAACTCTTGTCTAAAAATCATTGGATTCTTAGCTCAATACAAATATTGAACTCAGTTCATACCTCTCTATGGCTTTGTCATTTTGCTTGGAGATGAAGACAAAGTGAGCCAACCACTTGATGAATGAGTAGCGACAGTCTGATACATTACCAGGCATATCATGGCTTTCCAGCTCTGATACTCTCCTAGACTCAGGCAAATCTACAGGCACAAACAGTACACAACTTACATTGACATTTAACATTAACATGGTATCCAGCTTAAATTTATGTGTAAAAACTCAATTTTTTTATGAAAATACTTTAAAGTCAAAGTACATCTGATATATTTTACAAGAAGATTTCGATCCTAAATACAGCATGCCATTTGTTTGTATAAGAACTAAGTTCATTACTCACTTTACAAGTGTCATATACCAAAGCATTACCTACCTAATTTGGGATTATAAATATCTCCACCTTTATCAAAGGTTGGTAGTAGCCACATTAAATAGGAGGACTTAAAATTATCAAATAGAAATACAAAGCAGGTCTCCCTCATGCCTTTATTTTCCCACTCAATTTTGATCACCTGAAAAAAAGAGGAAATTTTATCTTTTTCACCACTGATCATTTAAACCCTTTATCATTTCAACGTTTTGTCAATTCTGTTCTATGATTTAAGGACTTTTACCTCAGAAACCATGTAGTAAAGTACAGCATCAAAATAATGTTTTGTTATATTTTCTGGCAACTTTTCTCCACTACCAGGTAAAATTGGAGTTATGTCCCCTGACATAATCATCCCACTGCAACCTGCAATTACATCATTTTTCTCACAATATTACTTGCAGATAATACAAATACACTTTTCATGAAATTAAAAAACTCACTTCTTTTAATAAATGTATTACAAATGTACTTATACCACATATCTAACAAATGTTTAATACAGAGAACCTGTCTAATCCAAAATGCACTGGGAGACAAATTTTGAGTCAGAATAGGCAAGTGTCGGATTACACACTGTAAAGAACATAGAAAACACTAAAATGGGAAATAAGAGTCAGAATTCACAGTGACACCAATAGCACAGGTGTCAGATAAGACAGTTTTCAAAGTATATTTATAATCAATTTTTGAAATTCACCATAAACTTCACCATTAAATGCAGGACTGACTGTTAATCAAAGTTACCAGCCCTGTCAAAAATCTACTATCTCAAGAAAGTAATTGTCTTTTCAAAAATTATATTGATTACAAAAGAAAAACCATCCAAGTTGTTAAGTCATCCTCCATGCAACTGTGCGATTATGTCAATCTCCTTTGCAGAGTTGTTGTTTGTTCATACACCTCTGCAATGGTCTCAGGTCAAGATTTTTGACACAAAATAAAAAATACGATATTCCAAGGATTATTTTAAATTTAACTTATAGTTCTAAATCAACTTAGAAAATATCTACATTTACATTTGCGCACACATTTAAATATAATGAATTACCGGTAAAACAAATGCATCATTTATCGTGCTTATTACTGTGATATACGCAAGCCAGCAACAGAGGTGAAGGCATGAGCTGATGGTAGAAAGTGTGATTATTTGACTATGTCCCAGTTAGCATAACTTAGATCCCGATTATACAGACTGACAAGTTCTGTCACATGGTTTGTTACCCTTCACTCCTGATACAATCTCTCCATTTAAGACAGATTTATCATTGTAAATTTTAAAACATCCAGTCAACCATTACTACAAGCAAATTTGTTCGCCCACAGCGAAATTTGTGAGTCTCAGGTGGGCAGATGGTTATTTCAAACACTTTTATAATATTTATCTATACTTGTGTCTTTTGCTTAAATAAAAAGTAACATTGTATGGCAGCTGAATTAGCATGTCGACAGAATCAAAAGTTACCATTTCGTTACATCAATAAAAAGTCAGTGAATACATTTCCTACATTGTCTTTCAACCAAACTAGCAAATAATCTTTACTTTCTGATGCTGAAGGGGATCTTCCATATAAAACATCCTGGTGGATGCCATTTCCCAGGCCCGGCACTAGCTGCAGGAATATATCATGGCATTCCTCTGAAGCATTCTCATTTAATATCTGATACCAGAGCAGGAACAGTCTGATGCCATCTTTTCTAATCTATAATATTATTAACCAGTTAAAAGTCTCGACTTACATGCTGCATAAATAAGAATTAGATGTCATTTGAAGATAAATAAATTTAATACATACCTTTAAACCATTTCCTGGATGCAATAATTTCTTTAGTATTCTCCCTAAGAAAATAACATGAATACAATAGGTTTTTTTTTTAATACATGTATTATTATACATGAATTCATTAATTGTAATATTCTTTTCATTATGGAATTTGAGTCTGCATGTTATAATCCTTACCCCCCCCCCCCAAAAAAAAAACCAAAAAACAAAAGTGAGGCCCATGGCCTTAATGGTCACCTGAGTATCATGAGTTTGTCAGGCTATGATTAATTTGGACCCACTTGGAATGGTTTACACTTGTATCACATACATTTTCCAGTTTCATGAGAACTCTTTACTCATAATCATACTTGAGCAGCTTGCCCTCATAAATTCATTAGTAAATGAAATAAGGTACATTGAATAGTATATTTCAATATATGACAACCCCCCACCCCCACCCCCAATACCACCAACATACAAACAATTTTTAAAGATTGTTTTCAATTCCTACTTACCAGTAGATCCCTAATTACCACCCCCACCCCCGACCAAGATTGCATGGAAAAAACTTAAATCTGCATCACTTGAGGATGCTGGCAGATCCTACTGTTCTGGATAAGAAGAATTTTAAAGATTTTTTTCCTATATATCCCTATGCAAACCTTTGATCCCCAGGGGTCATAATTGGAACAAATTTAAATCTACACTATCTGAGGATGCTTCCATATCAATATGACTAATCATGGGTTTGCTGTTCTTGAGAAGAAGATTTTTCCTAATTATATACATTCTTATGTAAAATTTTCATTGTCCATTGTGTCCCCGCCCTACCCCCAGGGGTCATGATTTGAATAACTTGAATGTACACTATCTGAAGATGTTTCCATATCAATATGACCAATCATGGTTTTGCTGTTCTTGAGAAGAAGATTTTTAAAAGATTTTTTCTATATATTCCTATGTAAAACTTTGATCACCCATTGTGGTCCAATCCTACCCTGGGGGTAATGATATGAACAAACTTGAATCCACACTTTCTGAGGATGCTTCCATAGAAATATAACTAATCATGGCTTTGCTGTTCTTGAGAAGAAGATTGTTAAATCTCCTATATATTCCTATGTAAAACTTTCATCCCCCACTGAGAACCCATCCTACTCCCGGGGAGCCATAATTTCAACAATCTTGAATGTACACTATGTCAGGAAGCTTTCATATAAGTTTCAACTCATCTGGCCCAGTGGTTCTTGAGAAGAAGCTATTGATATGTTCCCACTGTATATTTTTGCCTTTTCTTGATTATCTTCCCTTAGAAGGGGCACTGCCCTTCATTTGAACAAACTTGAATCCATTCATCCAAGAATACTTTGTGGCAAGTTAATTGAAATTAGTCCAGTGGTTCTTGAGAAGAAGTTGAAAATGTGAAAAGATCATGCATCACAAACACCCACATAATGATGGACAACAACAGATAACAAAAGGTCACCTGAGTGACTAAGGTGACCTAAAAAATGAAAATTCAATATGATATCTTACCAATGCTGTGAAACATCCATCTTTTGTGTATCAGTTCAGGTAAGAGTGTGAGTATTTTCTAAAAAAAATTATAAATATACCGGTATAAATTGAAGAGAAACAAAAGGTTTACAACTTTCACCCGAGTCAAATCTCTCCTTTTTTATATAAGCCAAGAATTCCTCCAGCATAGACTTTCAATGTACATATTGAATATATCAAATACATTAACCTACCTCAAAGACAAACAGAATTCCATCTAGTTCCTCTCGATGGGCTCTGTTGGCTGTGAATGATACAGACATAAAACTCAATAAAACACCTAACATTAAAGCAATATGAGCTGCAACTTTGATGTCGGAATTTTTGTTGCAAAACTGAAATTAACTATTTCAATGACAGAAAAAAGAATGTTTATAAACTTCTGTTGTTCATATTTGCGATGGAAGAACTATTTTTAAGCTTTGGTTGAAGCAAAATTACACGATTGTCATCCTGTACAGTATTGATTTCTTATATAATACACATGTACTATATATTTGATTGTACATAAGTCTTTCTTCTGAAACAGTTTAATACTTCATTTAAGTCAAATTGATCAAAGAGGTTCAAATTACATAAAACTTTATCAAAATAGCACATTTTAACAACAAAATTGAATTCTCAAAAATGCAGCTCATATTATATGCTTTAAGTAATACAGTATCTTCATAACCTGATTTTTTTTTAACCTCCTCTAAATTAAGTTCACATTTGCAGTTAAATACCTCTTTGTTTCAGATCTGCCTCTACTGTTGAAAAATTGTCATTAAATATGAAGTAGATATGTGAGTAATTGGCTTCAAAGAAACTCTTTGCCTCTGATATGTTGTAATTATCTGAAATGAAAAAAGTTTTAAATATATATTGACAAGCTCTAATACCATTACATGCTGGTCTCGTAAAAAGACCCAGTCACAATTAATTAGACTCTTGTTTCCCCCAAAATTGAGGTAAAAATTTCCAAAAAACAAGCAAATTGAATTTTTCAGTGATTTTTATTGATTTTCAAATTATAATAGTTCACGACTATGTGAAGAGAGGATAAGCTTACAATTTAACTGTCTTTATTTTGTAGTAAAACATTATACAATTCATCAATATCTTCCATTTTTTCATGTTTTCAATTTAAATTTAAAGAGAACAAGACCCTGTACCAAAAAAAGGTCAAATAAGCCTTGATTGATATCCACATATACATATATTCTATTCATCCTGCTGTACTTCCCAAAAGTTGGTTTTATTTTAACGAACATCACTTGACATAAATATTTATATATATTCCTTTCAGGAAGTCCTCATGGTTCTTAAAGAAACTGTCATCTAAATACATGTATTCAACAAGATTTTATCTGTTTATTTTCATTTATATACACATACACAAAACTACACACTAAATTCAGCTGATCCATGCAAGGTCATTTGTTTTCCTGTTTCCTTCCTTGGCATTTTACCGGAAATGAAACTACATGTAATTTTTTTAAAAGCAAAAAAGTTAAATGACCTTCATAAAGCAGTATAAGCTCTCATTCATGAGCATGTGGAGATTTACTCACTGACTTATTCCCTATCATACACAGTATGCATAACTATTTGAACACATAGTCTTGATAAGAATGAAAAATATCATACTGTAGATTGGGAGATAAATACAATGGTTTTATATTTATCGCTTTTCCTGGAAATTAAACTAGTGAATAAGGTTAATAGATCACACAATAAAGTGCCAGTATATGTCACAAGGCACATGCTTGTCCTGAAATTAAAACCATTGCAATTGGTACCTTTGTAAAATATTGTGAAATTTTAGATGCATGGAAAGAAAACAACTTACAGTATCCTGACGCAAAATCTAATTCAAATTATCATATAAAATCACAATATTATATATATATATATATATATATATATATATATATATATATATATATATATATATATATATATATATATATATAGAACGCACAAAGAAATTCATTTTTATAAGGATACCCACTTCTGCCCCAACCCAGGGTTGAACTCTTGACCTACGGAATCTGTCTCCTAGCAGTACAGGTACAGCGCAGTATACCCCTATATATATATATATATATATATATATATATATATATATATATATATATATATATGTGTGTGTGTGTGTGTGTGTGTATAGTTTTTTCCCTCGCTAATCACTATTAAATTATACAACAGTAATACACATTATACTCTGTGTTGTATTACATGTAACAGCAGTAATAAATACTTTGAGTATGTTAACTATTTGAGTTTGTTTTGCTGTTTTTATCTCAGCCCTTTTATCATACTCAATCTTCTATATTTACATGTATGTAAAACCAATGTACAGTACCAATGTTCTCTGTTTGAAAAATTATCCACAAAAAAAAACAAACAAACAAACAAGAACAAAAATTCTTTCCAAAACCATTTACAATAATTTCCTGTTTTTTGAAAATTTCATTTACTATCTACCGGTAAAATAAGAACTGAACTTCAGTATGATGAACATTAGTGTGATGTGAACACTGCTGACCTTTGACCTTTAGTAAACTAGAGGAGGAAGATGAGGAGATATCAAATACTGACTGTTGCACCCATACCAGTGATCTCACTGCTGTAATCAATGAACTTATTAGCTAATGACCTTATATACTCTTCATGGAGAAGTTACTTCATACAGTGTGAATGTTTTTTGAAATACTCAACTACTTACAAGTATACTGCAATGTAAAATACGACTAACTAATGGATTCTTATTTATTTCAGAATTTTCAATAGACCTAGAGACACTGCCGTGTATTCTTTCTTCTCATAATAAAGATTTTAGGGTATTCACATCTTTCGGATATATCATGGCACCACCTTGAATATTTACATATTTGCAACATTACCAAGTACATGTCGAAGGTGTTTCAATCTCGTTAGAGCATCTTTCTTCGGGTCCGATACTTTTTGTACGGATTTCTTTAAGTCCCCATCTTTGGTGCCTTTCCTAAACATGTCCAAAACACTAGACATTTAAAATATTTTTAAGTAAATTTCTGCAATTTCTGACATTTTCGTCTGTTTACTTGCGCATGCGTATAAATAAATTTAGCATACCAAACCCGATGTAAAAAAAAAATGAAGAGGGAAAAAAAATTAACTTGTTGAGCTAATGCATATTATGTGGAAGAAAGAAGATATTGTAAAAAGATAGATGTGTATATCAATTGTAATATTCAATAAACATGTGCTCTATTTTATTTTTTCCTAAAAGCGACTAAGTCAGTGAACAACTTTCTGTCAACCGAAAGCGGAAATAATAGGGGAAATAACTGAGATCGATTTAAGAAGGAAGAGACGAGTAGTTGAATGTTGTTCTAATTTTGACAGATGAGGTTTGAATGAGCTGGAACGATAATTCTTCAGCAGAGTCCGACAGGGCCTCGGAAACCAAACCACTAATGGATGGATGTGTGGACTCAACTCGGAGGCATTTGTACGAAGATATTAGATCTAATGACACAGCAGCAACTGGAACTGATCAGGTTGTTAAAAACGTTTGACTCAAATAATAATAATAATGACTGTGTATAATAGAGAGTAAGGAACACGTTAAAGAAAAACTGAACGTATTGACAGATGGCCGCTCTTTTTCCTGTGACCTAATTTAGTAATTGAAAGCAAAAGGAAAACATGAATCATCAAAATGTGAAATCTATTTTATTAATATGAAGTAACAGATTTGACTTAGTTAAGGACATCTCCGCTAGGCAAGGGTTTCTGATCTGCTACTCTTCTCATAATCCCTTGGCCTACGGTGCTGTCAAAAGTAGGGATTTTTTTCTCGAGTTGTGATTGGAGTTGATTGATACAGTTCGATCATTCAGCAATTGCTTTTTGTAAATGACAATATTTGCGTTCGGGATGTATCTTGACTCTTTAGTCTTGGGAATGAAAAACAAGTATACAATGATCCATAAGATAACATGCCATTCTATAAATAGCTATGGTGTCATCTAATCATAATTAAGTTGATGTGCAAATAATGTGATCAGGAATCTATATTACAGATGTAGATTTGCACCCTAAATAACAAAAAAAAAAATCGCTCAATACCTTCTAGCTAATTATTCTCTCAAAACTTTAATGTTTAAATTTGCTTTTTATTTCTGTCGGTGACGCAATCTGTGCGTATGTGGTAAGATTCGAGATCATGTGACATAAACATTTCCGTCTTTTGATAGCACCATAGGCCAAGGGTTTGTGAGAAGAGTAGCGGATCAGAAACCCTTGGCTAGCGAAGATGAGTTAAGGATAATTTGTGTATAAAAGAGAGTAAAGAAACATGTGACAGATAGCCGCTCTTTTTCCTGTGTCCTAATAATCTATTTTATTAATATGAAGTAACAGATTTGACTTAGTTAAGGATAATTTGTAAAGTTTAAATAAATGAACAGCAATAGATAGGATGGGAGAGTACATTGTCTTGATTATTAAACAAATTTCCAGTTTCCTTTTCTCTTTGTATGCAAGAGTTGTTATACATGTATGTATGTAAAGACCTGGTCACCTTGTATACTCCATTCTCATTATATTGTGGGTTCCATTGTATCATGGTTTTTTTCCAAGAATTAGGATACATAGGATTTTGCATACAGATAGTAGATTAAACGTTCTTTGTTAAAATTTGTTAAAATTTTGGCATTTTTCAAACTTCATTTTTGGAAATGCAGCTAACATATGACATGATGTGACGTCTAAGTCTAGACATTCCAAATATCTCGTGCGGTTTGAAGAGGCGGATCTAAGTGAACAATGCGCTCGCCCCAACGGTTGCACTGTCAACATATTATGCCACTAAAAAGAAAGTTGGCTCATTGTAAGGTTTTCTGAATAGCATTCGATGAAAAGTAAATATTTAGAATAACTTTTTTATGCAAAAGAAATAAGTACTGTGATATATGGAGATACCAGTATACCATTTTCTATGTTTATAGAATCTTTTAGTAGTGATTTTGGTTTATGTTTAAGACAGTTGATGACAAATCATATTTTACTTTGATTTTCTTATTGTTATAGGCAGAGGAAAACCATGACAGACAAGTGACCTCTCGCCCGACACGAGATGGGGGCACTGTCCAAAGGCGGTCAGCAAGGTCTAATGATGATGAAGAGGAAGATACATTACTCTATGGTGCCAAACATGTCATTATGTTGTTTGTACCTGTGACTCTCTGTATGGCAGTAGTTGTAGCTACCATCAGCTCCATAACATTCTACACAGATAAAGGAGGTTACTTGTAAGACTTGTGTTACTGTACACAACTTTGATAAAAATTAGTTCAGAATCTATATATTCTAAGACTTCTGTTACTGTATACTGCTTTGCTAAATTTTAGTTGAGAATCTGTATGTTGTAGTTAGTGGTAACATAGCATTCAGATGTAGTTTCTTTGCATTTGATTTTTTTCTCTTAGATTGTGAACTGATGTTTCATAATTAACTAAGCTAATATAATAATGTGATCATTATCTTTGCACATATCTGAAGAATCTTAAATATTTTACAAGAAGAGAATGAAAACAAGTGTCATTGACAATATTTCAGAGTGTATACACCATTCCATGATGGAGACAAAGCTGATGCTGACACTGGAACCAAAGTCTGGCAGTCGGTGGCCAACGCCCTCATTCTACTGGCAGTTATATGTGTTATGACCATTGTACTCCTTTTGCTGTACAAATTCAGATGTTATAAGGTGAGATCAATGGATAGAAGTTTAGATTATACTATAAGAGAATAAATGCTAATAGAATTAGCTATTAAGGAAGTATAATGCATGAGCCATCAAATTATCAGAAATGTTATTTATAAACAGATGCATCAAAAACATTGTACTAAAAAAAGGTATTTCTGGTTTCAATAACTCTACTGTTTAACATAAGTTCTTGAGAATTTTATTAACACTGTATAATATTAATGATATTTATTGTATCAGTGTTGACTCTGTGTTGAATATCTATTTTGTAGGTAATTCATGGCTGGTTGATTACATCATCACTTATGCTTCTGTTTTTATTTTCCTACATCTATCTGGGGTAAGTTTTACTCATTTTCCTGATTTTTATTCATCAGAGATTATTTAATCAGAATTGCTATATGAATTGATAAGCCGAAGAAGACAACTAGCTTCATCACTCATCAGATTGATGCTTGTACATACAATTTTGTTATTAAAAATAAGGGAAGAATCACTTAGTTATATGCTCAATTTTTTGCTTTCCTTTGAAATGCCATTACTTTGTTATGATAAGGTATTCACACTAATGGTTATGTAAGGCTATAATTAAAATTTTATTTGTTTCCTCTCTGCCCTCTCTGTAACTCACTTTTTAAATTAGTAGGTAGGAAATTCATTTAAATTTTTCTTCTCCAGAGTAAAATTTAAAAAGTGCCAGCATATAATTATAATTTCACACACTCAAGGTCCTTAGAAAAAATGTTATGAGAAACAGTGAAATATTGTTTTAGGGAGGCAGTGGGGGGGGGGGGGGGGGGTGTTGTTTTTTTTCCCGTGATTTTGGTTTTTTTATTCCCTGTGTGATTTTGTTTTAGTTTTTTTCCCTTCAGTATTTTAAGTTCTATGAAAAGGGAAAGACAAAATAACTAATGGTGATTTGGGTGAATCATAATCACATTTGTCCTTTACACAATGTCATTGTGGTGTGATAAAAATAGTGGAAAATAATGTGAAATGTAATATTCTTGTTGTTTTTTAGGGTGGTGCTACAGGCCTATAATGTTGCCATGGATTACATCACTGTAGCTCTATTGATGTGGAATTTTGGGGTGGTGGGCATGATTTGTATCCACTGGAAGGGACCCTTATTTCTACAGCAGGCCTATCTCATTGTCATTTCTGCACTGATGGCCCTCATCTTCATTAAATATCTACCTGACTGGACGACTTGGGTCGTGCTTGGAGTCATGGTTGTGTGGGGTAGGTGGTAATTGTAAAAATTATAAAAAAAATTCTATTTTCCTGCTCTTTATTGTTCATTTAAGTTGTATATTAAAGTTAAAATTGATTTAAAAATAAGAACAAGTTTCCCTAATTGACTATAATTCAAAAAACATTACATTCAATTTAAAGGAAGCTCTAAACACTGCTCACTGAAGAGTTCTAATTTCATGGTGGGTTTTTTTTTTTTGGTTTTTTGGTTTTTTTTTGCAGTTAGAGTGATCTGCCCTTTGATAGAAAATGACATAAATAGAAATCTACAGTAAATGATGCAATTTGAAATACATTTAAAAATTCTTTACATTATATTTAACCAAGAAAACGTAATTGAAAACATTATTTGCATGTATTTTAAGTAAGTAAATACAAAACAAAGATTTTACATTGTTACTGGGACCCCTGCATACCATTAGGTGTCCACCATTCTGATCACTGCTATACATTATGGCCACCAACTCTAATCCAAAGTTTCAAGAATCCTTTAACAGAAAGTGAATGAAAAGTCCAAGAAAGACATCAGTAACCCCCAAAAAAGATTCTGCAACTCATTTCAATCTGACACAAATATAGAATATCCAGAAACACCAAACAAATCTCAACAGAGACTGCAGGAAAAGAAACCTCCATCGAATCCCAGTCTGCAACCATGCCTGATCCAGGCGTGTCTTCCAAGAAACAAAAAATATCAGAAAAAATGCAGACATTTTTACACTTAGAAAACTCCATATTAAACTCCACAGGACAAAAAAAAACCATGATGCATACCTGAATAAATGCTAACAGAAGGACCTCATATCAAAAAAATTATGAGCCAAAATCACCCCTCAAATCCTAGACCTCATTGCTATATTTCTCCTAAACTGGGAAGAAGCACACCTTAAAAAAACAAAGAAAACACTAATGAAATGTAACATATTAACAATTTATAGGCCACAATTCCAGCCTCAATGAACAACAATAAAATCCAGAAAAAATCAACAAAAGCATCAAAGGATAAGAAGAAATACCCATAGAAAATTCATAACGGTTATGATAATCCCTCCTCTCTCCATAATTGGTCAACAAAATAAATTTGCCTATGCATTCTCACAATGGTGATCTGTTTATGTCTTTACTATAAGTAAACACCAGTAATTTCTGTTCACTAATACTTCATTAACTTGGAACATATTTTCTGAGGAAATATGTTAGGTACCCAATGTTAAAAATCAACAAGATAAACTAAATATGTACACCTTTAAAAGATACAATTTTATCAAAGTCCAGAAAAACTTTTAAATTTGTTTAGAGCTTCCTTAAATGAAAAAGGTGAAAATAAGAACAGTTAAACAATTCCGCAAACAAAATCAGTACATGTAATAATGTGTTAAGTAAGTCCAACAATCTTTTTTTTTTTTTTTTTTTTTTTTTTTTTTTTGCATTTGAACGATTGTTCATTTCTGTCCTTTAAACACAAGAAGATACAAACTTATGGAAGTATTTCCTCTTCAGATTTAGTAGCAGTGCTTTGTCCAAAGGGCCCTCTTAGAATTTTAGTAGAAACAGCACAAGAGAGAAATGAACCAATATTTCCAGCACTTATTTATTCGTGTAAGTAAAAATATAAGATGACAAATACCTGGTATGTGTCTGATTTTACACATGTGTCTTGAACAAACACAATACACTTGTATTTAAACAGTTATGTTTAGCCTTATGTTCTATACCTTGCACTTTAATGTATAATATACTGAAATGCAAAAGAAACGCAACAAGAAGTAATCTACAAATATTTGAACCTTTTAACTAATGATTTTTAAAACTGATTACAGTTGAGTTAAACTCGATTTATAAACATCAGAGATTTGATAACAATGTTAAATGATTATCTTTTAACTTTAGAAAGTAACACATGACTGCTAAAACACCCCCCTTCTCAGCCATTCCATTCTAACGTGGAAGACTGCCATGCACAACAATTGCAGCTTGATTTCCAGGATGCAATAGATTCATCAATCTCAAGATCTGAGAGAAAAAAAATATTCTTCGCCATTTTTAAAAGTCCGTTTTTCAGATGACGAAGTCGAATTTTCTCTAACATAGCGCAGTGTAGCAACACTTGGACTTCCGGTCCACAGACTATCATTTGTGCTAATGATACGTATGAGCCTGTTGAGGCGTGTTGTCGTGCATTTTTGCATCTGCAATTCTCCATCACCTTTATTTTCAGATTTTCCAGCTAGAGCATTTGAAATGCGTACTTAAGTCATTTTCAGGAAGCCTTGGCATCTCTTCCGGAAACGAAAGAAGAATTTATTTTGCAGAATATTTGCTGCATTACTTATGATTAACAGATACAAACCTTTAAAACCCCATATTTTTGTCAAATGTTTTGTTAAACATGCAATTTTTGAATTCTGTTAAGCGGGCTCAAACTCAACTGCCGTTTATGGCATGAAAATCATTCAACCGTTAAATTATCGATACTTAAAAAGTTGAAGATATCCGTACTTTTTAGATACAAAATTATATCCTTTATATAATTTTCCCCTCTAAAATAGGATGTTGCATTTCTTTTGTGTTTCAGTATATAAGTCCTAGATAGTCATGAGATAACTTAAATTGAATTAGGTCTTGCAATTGAAACAATCTTAAAAAAATAGGAATCCTGATTTTTAAAAAAAAAATTACATAAACAGAGGTATTTTATCTTGAATATCCCTTTCAGTGTGAATTTTTAAAACGATTGATATTTTGTTTTTAAGCTACTGTGGTTTGGTCTGTTGTTGGAATGGCTAAGGATGGATCTGACAAAAAGAAGAAAAACAAAAAGAAATCCAAAACTCAAGGTGACCCCTTTTTAACTCATTTAAACCCTAAAAGTTTCATTTTATTTAGACAGTAAACATGTATGTTCTTAAGAAAATTTGTTTCTTTGAAAACAGGATTAGGCAGATTATTAAGCAACTAGGTTCCACTAAGTTTTGAGCCACATTTAATTTTTGCTTACTTGATCATCTTCCCCAATAGGTTAAAATGAATATCTTTCAAGTGATAAAATAACTTTTGGTGATTAGACAGAAACAGTTTTTTTATGTGTTTTGGCAAAAGTAGCACAAGAGGTAAACATTTCTTAAAAAGTAGATGTAAAGTTATTGAGACTATTTTATTTTCATGATGGTTACAAATGTGAAATACTTTATACTGCAGCTCCAGCAGCCACAGCTGATCCCAATCACTCAGAAGAAGACGATGGTGGATTTTCAGAGGAAAGACCTCCCAGACATTTGTCTCAGAGCTCTGAAGAAACTGCCAGGGTTGGTTAATCAGAAACCCCCATTATGTTGTACCACTAAATCTGTACAGTCTAGCAGGCTTTCATATTTGTATTATTTCATTGAAAGAAGTGTTCAGGCGACACAGTACCTTACATTGTTGTAGTATTAGTATTTAAACATCAGTGATGAAAATACCATTTCTTTTATCAGTGCTAAAAATACCATTTCTTTTACAGGCAGTACGGGCTGCAAGAACTTTAGGAGATTCAGAAAATGGGCAGCGACGAAGTACAGAGAGAAATCAGTCAGGAGAGGAGGAGGAGGAAGAAGAAAGTAAGACCAACAGCTAAAAATATCTGTAGACAGAAGTAGGTTTAGAATAGAAGTGTAGGATTTTATACTTTATCCAAAGATTGATTCCAGGCTCTTTGTTTATCTTGTTTCTTTTTTCATCTGTTTGTTATATAGATAAATGTTTGTTTCAGGCATTATATATTATTAGTTTCATCTATGCATATTTTTTTTAATAAAAAGAAAGAATTAAAATTGCATTCTTTAAAGGTGATTGCTCATATTCAATGTAGAAGTGTGCATGTTTCCCATAGTGGTTACCTTATATAAATGTAAGTAGTTAACACAGTTAAACTGTTTGTTTATCAGGAGGAGTTAAGTTGGGGCTTGGTGACTTTATATTTTATGGTGTACTTGTTGGCAAGGCTTCCTCCAACGGAGATTGGAACACCACCCTTGCCTGTTTTGTAGCCATTCTTATTGTAAGTATATCTTCAATATCAATCTGTACATCAGTTCATGGCTTGGGAGGAACCCATGAGTAAAGTGCCAAAACACTTAAAGCTCATGTTATTCACTGGCACAACTGTATTGTCACATTCCATATGTTAGCTTGATTGTTATAATTTTTTTATGAGATTTTCAAATGTTATATAGTTCTTTTTTGTTTTAAAGTAACATTTCAAGAGTATTTGAATGTTTATTATTGTATATAAATTTAGTTCATTGTATGGAAAACAAGAAGGAAGTGCCTGTACTAGTGTCTATGTTCTATTATGATTTTACTAAGTGGAATACTGTGATAAGAGAAATTCTATAGGTTACATTTATATATCAAATTTAAACACTCCTATCCTACTTGTATATATATTTATCATTGTAAGGAGACATTAGGTGTTTTTTGTTGTTGTTGTTGCTGACTTGATTACAGTCAATACTTTACGAGTCTTTGACACTGACTACTATTTTGTCTTTTTTTCAGGGCCTGTGTTTCACTCTTCTGCTGCTTGCTATTTTTAGAAAAGCATTGCCAGCTTTACCCATCTCCATTACATTTGGACTGATATTTAATTTTACCACTAGTCTTCTGGTGCAGCCATTTGCAGACCGGCTGTCTGCATCTCAGGTGTACATCTGATATCAGTGGTCGGGTGTACATCTGATATCAGGGGTCAGAGTGTACATCTGATATCAGGGGTCAGAAACTAGACGAGTGGCAAGAACTCTATGCCATAAATTATTTTTAAAAAAACTCTGTTCTGTCACAATTATCATCACTAATAAACATTATTAATATTTTTTGAACAAGCCATCATTTAGTTTAAATGCTCTTGAGAAATATTTGTAGTATTTTCATCTGTTGAGTTACATGAATTGCTTTCAAAGCAAAGCACTCTATTTTTAATTATTTAGTTTTATGTTTAAGTACAAGCAGTACTTACAAATGCCGAAGAATGAAATTTGTATTCATTTACATGATGAGAGTAAATATTCAGTTCTTGATGTTCAATATCTATCTGACACGTATATTTACAGTCTTACTAAACATGTACATTGTAGCTTTGTTATTTGAAAAGATCACATGTTCATTCATATTAATGTCTTCGTTTTGATTTCGTCAATAAATCAACAAATTCCATTAGTGTTCATTTGATATTGGTTGTGAATTTCAAAGTACATTAGCTGAAAAAAAAAATAATCAGCAGATTAATTAGGAAATGACAAGTGTTGAAACATGCCCTGTGATAAGTAGATTAAGGAGAACATCAACATTAAACCTTGTCTCACGGAAGTGCCCAATTTGTCACCAGGAAGGTGATTATAACGGACACCTGTCCAGACCGCCGCAAAGTTCAACAGGTTTTCTTAAACAGAACTGTTTCTTTTTTTCCAGCAGGTAAATTCAAACGATACACTTTGATTTTAAAACATTCATTTTTGCTGATGTAAATTATCCAAGGAGAATATTCTGTCTGCCAAAACTTGTCGAGTTTAAATTGCCGAATATACTAGTATACCGGTAAACATCTACGAATACATTACATTGGAAAACTTTTCGTTTAAAGGCCGCACTTTTAGAATGAACCGTAACAATGCATATATACTGAAAGGATTAAACGAGGCACAGATTTGGTTGAATAGAACTTATTAGTGGATTACTGGCTGAAATTGGCCATTGGAAATCTTGTTTGACGTGCAAGTCATCGAAAGGCCAGAACCGAAAACTGCTACTAGTGTCGGAAACTTATCTATTTGAGAGGGGGGAAAGGTGCAAAGAAAAACGGCGAACTTGGAAAGATATTCACGGGATTTGGCAGTGTTTCATTAATATTACCAATTCCTTGTGATTAATGAATGTGCATATTTATTAAAGGGCGTCATTCTATCGTACATATCTACACGTAAAAAGCCTCTTTTCTGTTGATACTTGGAAGGCCATTGCTCTTTTGGTTTACAATTCTGTGACCTTGCTGGGGGAAATGACAGACTGATAAAGCAAAATGGGCAATCTGAAATCTAAACTAAAACGCTCTAAGAGCAAATCCAAAAAATCAACCAATCTGCCAGACTCCACTTCCACTAAAAAAGCGGTAGATCCTCGCCTACCTTTTTCAAATTATCGACAGATTTTTAATATTCGTAATGGTTGGAAATCTGTGTCCCGCGTGATGGAGGATACTGCAAAGGAGACTCTTATCAGGTAACATCTAATGGCCTTTAATTCTAACGGAGGGGGGGGGGGTTAAAGTCTGCACATAGTTGAAGTTTAATTTCACTATTTTAGTCTTACTATATGGCTACTTCCATTAAATTCTTGCAAGTTTTATGCGATACTTATGAATGCTAAAGAAAGTCACACCCCCCCCCCAATTTTGGGACACAGTCCATGGCCGTAGGAACCGGGGGGAGGGGGGGGGCGTGCCCCCCCCCAATAATTTTGCCGATATATAGATTACTATAGTAAACATAGATACTATAAGCTTGTGCCCCCTCAATAAAACCGCCTGATGACCTTTTTTTTTTAAATTTTTTTTTTTGCTTGTCAGAAAATTTTTGGTAGTGCCCCCTCAACTGAAAAATGTTTGGCTGTGCCCCCCCCCCCAAACTGAAATTGCTTCCTACGGGCCTGACAGTGGTTACATATATTAGGCTCTGGGAATAATAGTGTCAGAGTATATACAACTATGCTCATTACTTAATCCAAACAAATTATTTGTTAAAGTTCTCCATTATTACCAAGCCTTTTAAATTTTGCAGATAGAATAAATTAAAATCTATTCTAGTGGTAAATTTATCATTGTTTGTTCAAAAGATTTTGATATCCAAATATACCTTTTCTATGTTTACCCATTCAGAGAAAATGCAGTTTTATTATACCATATTTCCTTTAAAACGCCAGGAAAGCTGTTAAAAAAAAATTTAAATCGCGTCAACTTTCAGTTTTATTGCTTTATAAAGGATTTTTTTCGGAGCTATTGAACACTTCCTTAAATTTTCCTTTGCTAAAAACAATATTTCAGCGGAGTTTCAAAACATTGGCAAATTTATACAAAATCTCTCCGGGTTTCTCCACTGTCCCCTACTTGGGGAAAAAAGAAGAGAGGAAATTCCGCCCAGTTTACAAAATGTACAACTCGAGATTCCTTATTTGAAGGCAAGCATGCTAGTTTTGGAAAATATACTGAAAACTCACAAAAATATACCAATAGATTTTGTAGTGGTACAAAAGTTCAAATCCATAAGTATTCTCTCTCTTCCTACCTGCAACGAAGTTGGGAGGTGAAGAGTCCGACCATCTGTAGACATGTCAGTAGAAGCATTGTTGAAGTCTATCCCAGTTTATCACAAGCTAATGTTGAACCAAACCACAGGTGCAATATTCAATGCATTATTGCATTATTTCAGAATATGTTTGACAGTGCGTTCTACATCTGATACCTTCTTGAAAAAGATCCCCCCCCCAACCTCATCGTCTTGGCGAGCCTCTTTGACCCATCCCCTAAAAAGAATCTTAAAGATGGGAGTGGTATCTAATCCTTATCCCCCCCCCCCAAAAAAAATAAAAATGACACAAATACATTTTCAAGTGAACATCCGAGGGTGTCAAGTTAATTTACGAAAATTGTTCTGAGAAAACTCGAATGATTAGAGTTCAGGAGGGTGTCGAGGAAAGACTGACACAATTTTGCCGATAAAAAAAGGTCAAATATTAATTGTTTCACCTATATGTAATTATAGGGTCCAAACTGATATCAGTGTCTTAGATTCGTCCTTAAACATGAGACCCTATATTTTTTCCTTCCTTGAACAAGCCAGGGGAATGCACATTGTACTTGCACATAATTAACATGGACGAGTGAATCATTACTGGTTTTGAATCTTGTATGAACATACCATCATATACATGTACTTGCAAAGCTAACCTTATCTCTGTATACAAACACACACACACACACCCACACACACAAAATGAAATACCTTCCTTCATAAAAAAAATTATACATTGAATTTTTTTTCTTTTACAGACTTTTAGAAAAACACCCTCAATACAAGGAAAAATACCCCATGATAGCAGGACTTAACACGGAAGAAGAAATGAGGGAGAGTTTGGAGTTTGAGACCTACGCTATGCAGATTTTTGGAATGTTTGACGAGGTCATACAAAATTTAGAAAATGTAGACGCAGCGCTTGATGAAATCGAACACACCGGAAAACAACTTACTCCACAGCTAGTAACGGTAAATCTGAGTACAGATTTTAAACCAAAATACAATGTAACACTCACTGTCATATATGTTTCCATGTATAATTTCATTTTACCATGGTACTTTGTACCTGTCTGATCTATAATATGACTTTGAGAGACTAGTTGCAATAGTGTAGCCCTCTCCATCCCCCCCCCCCCCCGAAAACATCATATTAAAAATATCGGAGAGAACTATATTATTGCAGCTAGTCTCTACAAGTCATAAAATTATAGATCAGACACAATTTCGGCGCAGGAGCAGTGATTCCCTTACATTCAGTCATTCGTATATAGAAGTCAGGTTTTAGTCTAAATATGAATCAAGGTGATAACAAAAATGATAAGATGAAATAACAACATTACATCATGTAATTATTTTTGTTATCATCTTGACTTAATGTTGTTATAATATAAAATATTTAAACTTAAACCTGGCTTATGATATGTTGTTTCTCCCTTAGCAGTGATGCGAATAACTGTTGTATGTAATGAAATATGAAGATAACGAACAGTAATCGAGCTTAAAAGTCCATTGAAACAATACAAATCGAGAGCATAGCAAACACGGACCTCTAAAAAATAGAGATGGGATCAGGTGCTCTGGAGGAGTAAGCATCCCCTGTCGACCGATCACACATCTGCCGTGTGCTCTTTGTCATGATTAGGCAAACGGAAAAATCCGTTGACAATACAGAGTGAAAATGATGGCCTGACAATTAGTATGAAAAGCGTGAGTCAGCACTCGACCTAATGGTAGATATTTGCTGACAAGGTCATTGTATCAACCATATAACTTGCGAAATGATGATTTTAAACGAGACTGTTGATATTCTTGTTTCATCAACTTGTTTGTAAAATACCTTGCCTCGTTTTAGAATTTATCCGTACCTGGAGTATGCTCTTGCGAATCGAATCAACTGGGAGATATAAACCCCATAAGCAGGTGATAATGGTATATTGCTAATAAGTAAGGGAAGTTGACGATAGAAATGTTGAGGTCATCACGTTTATCATAAAGTTGTGTTGTTGGGTTACCGTTAACGTCTTTTTCTAGTAAAATATGCAAATATGAAACAGATGTGTCAGACTCTGTGGTATCTTTTATTAGGCCAAACAAAAAAATATGTGTGGTTCCGGTTACACCTCCAAAAAAATTAGGGTAGGTAGGTAGGGATTTTTTTTATTTTTTTTAAACAAAATGATAACAAAATGATTTTCTTAATTATTCTAAATAATACTTATCACTACTTTGCAAATGACATTTAGAAGTGGTGTGATAATATACTTGTCAATATTGGTAGGGGACACCTACATGCTACCTTGCTTTGGATTTAACACTAATAAACACTTGCACTATGTTGTGCAAGGGGGCCGTCATTGCTGAAACTAAAACTTAAACCGGAGCCATTGATGGAAATTGGGGAAAATTCCAGAAAAAATATGAAAATTGCCAAAAAAAGTTTAGGGTCGGGGGTATAAAATAGGGACGGTCGGGTAACCGGAACCACACATATTTTTTTATTTGGCCTTAGTGTTGCAGAAAAACAATGATTCTCTTGCAATAAGCAATCTCTCACGATCATGCATGTAGATTTTATATCTAGCTTGCAGAAACTCAGAAACACCCTTCCTTACTACACAACTATACTTTGGACTTGATTTAAACTTATGTATATGTTTCCCTCTAATTAGTCCCCTACCGGTGAAACCGGAGGGGATGTATAGGTTTCCTCTGAGTCTGTCCGTCCGTCTAGCTGTCCCTCTATCAGTCTGTCCCACTTGGTTTTCCGCACTTTTCTCTAAATACTTGCAGATATTGAGCTGATTTTTGGTATGTGAGTGTATTTTGATGAGCTACAGATCAAGTTTGCATTTCGTTCCGCTTTAACGATTTTTGGCGGAATTACGACCTTTTCAATTTTCAGGGTTTTCCGCAATTTTTTTCTAAACTCTTGCGGATATTGAGCTGATTTTTGGTATGTGACTTTACCTTGATGAGTTATAGATCAAGTTTGCATTTCACTCCGCTTCTTTGATTTTTTTATGGAATAATGGCATTTTCAATTTTTAGCGGGAACCAGATTACACTTGCCAGTAGGGGACTAGTATTGCTAATGCAATACTCTCAGAATGCTTGTTTTTAAGGTCAACATCAAAAGAGTATTTGGTTGGCATGAATCATTTCATTAACAAAGGTTAATATACTCCTTGACATAAACGAATTCAGACTTGGTATTTTGTTGCCCATACACCATTTTGTCATTTCAAGATTAAGGTCACGGGGCGAAATCATGTCATAAAATCAACACTAAAGTCGAGGTCTAACTTTACAGCTAGAGCTACAGACTGATTTCAGGCTATCATTCGTGACGCAAGACACGTTTTCATATATACTGACTTAAGTTCTGTAAACACGGGGGTATTTCAGGGGAAGGAAAGGTCTGTTCGTCTATATGAGAAAACTCTAGCTTTTAAAATTCACTGGCGATTTATCACAACTGACACAATAAATTTTTTCAATGAATGTAAGATACGGTACCCAGCCACTCCATTAATTTATTTTTTAATCTAAAGAGATATGTCCTTTCTTTACTAATTTAATGCATGTACCAACAAAACAAACATTAATTTATTTTACCTTAGTTTCACGTATTTATATTTATATCTGTCAATACACTTATGTGTTTTCAGTGGACTTTAACGGGTGTTTACTTTCCTCTAACTGTTTGATGGTGTACTTGATTCCTCACTGTGATTCCTCACAGTTTGATGGTGTACTTGATTCCTCACTGTTTAATGGTGTACTTGATTCCTCATAGTTTTATGGTGTACTTGATTCCTCACTGTTTAATGGTGTACTTGATTTCTCACTGTCTAATGGTGTAACTGATTCCTCACTATTTAATGGTGCGGGTTTACTTAATTCCTCACTGTTTAATGGTGTACTTAATTCCAAACTGTTTAATGGCGTACGATTCCTCATTGTTTAATGGTGTACTTGATTCCTCTCTTTCAGGATCTGGAGGATTGCTTTATGAACTCCCTACATCTTGTGTTAGACGAACGATATACAGAGACATTGCAAGAGAATTACCGCCTACTGTACGGATTCATCAAGTCTAATATACCACAAGATACGTAACAACTTATATATTGTAATGTTGCACCGATTACCACATCTAGTAACTCTACATGTACATGTATTTGCAATGCGTTCTCTCATAGAAAGTGCGTTCTCTAGTTGAATATTTACTATGAACTTTTCTTTTTGGTTACAAACAATTTCTCTTAAGACTGAATATAATAATAAAGATTGGCGTTTGTTTAATATGAGTATTTAACATTATATGATAGCATTGAAACTGTTTCTTCTCAACCTATTTTACTATGTGTATATGTACTCGAATATTTTCTGCAAATTATGATTCAAATCATCAAAAATAAAGTAGTGTAAGAACAGATATATACTTCAAGGTGTTAAAACAAATGTTTTCCGGTTCCCTCGTGGGAATATAGATGGATAGCAAGCTTATCTGGACTTAAACTGAAAAAAAACGACATCAGTGTTCCATAGTAGCCCGCCCGGAAAATGTATATAGTGTTTTTTCCTTCCGGGAGAAATCTGGCTTATGGTATTGCTACAGAGAGAGTGTTCTGATATCAAGGTTTTGATTTGATTGTAAAGTTTTGATATGAAGCAGTTAAATGAAAAGCCAGAATAAAAATGTGTAATTCAGCTTTTTTAGCTATCAGATAATGTTAAGAATGAAAAGCTGAAATTGACGGAATTTTCCCGTGAGCATGGGAAGTACAAGTATTCTTATTCAGTGAACTTAAATTTAAGCACCAGTGAACATTGATGGAGTGTAGTGTTTTTTTTTTTCTTCTAGTGTAACAATGTATCAGCACCAATATTTATCATAGTGATAGCCAAGTGTTATTATAAGTTATTGTATATATTTAGTAAGTGTCCCATACTCCTTGTTAAGATTAACTTAACCAAAAAATACAATACACAATAATTCTATACTGAGAGGATATGTGGCTATAGAGTCAGGAAGTCTTACGACAAGGCCAGATATCTATTGCAAAAATGTGCGGATTCAAAAAAAAAAGGGGGGGGGGGTACGCAGTCCTAGAATTATCAGTATATTTACACAACTAGTTAAAAATAAATGAACCTCCAAGCTCGACTCCTGCACAAAATACAATCTGGAAACATAGTAACAATAGTTATACACCCATCCCGCTCTCTGTTTACTTGTTCTTTTTCAGAATTATCAACTTTTTTTTATTGTAAAAGCAATATCGCTTTTGCACAATGTACATGGTAGAATGCTTTGCAAAGATTCATAATGGAAAATTTAACAACTAATCGGGAGAGTCACTATAGAATATCTAACATCATTAGAAATTATACTTTTACAATAATATATGACATAGAAATGAAAACTGGAAAACGCAATCTATACATGTTAAGAAATCTTAATATATATATATTTAAAAAAAATTAAGATATGAATAGGACAGAGCAATGTGGATTTCTTAATGCATTTAGTTCTAAGGATGTGATATGTTCGCGAGTCCGGGCGGCTTTCTCTAAAACTGAATTTAGGGATAAATCCAGTTATCTGATATCATTCAATCAAAACTCTTCAAAAACATTTTTTTTTCTTGAAGAATGGCTGCTGAGAATTACCCTCCAAAACAGCGAGAATATATATACCGAACACGAACGAACAAGAATTCTAGAAAAACAGTCAACTGCAACAAACTTATGATATGTTACGAAATTGCACATTGTTGATTGTGTTTATCTTTATTCTTGTCTTTTAATTTGATAGGTTGCCTATTCGTGGCCGCCATAACACATTGTTCGAAAACGTTTTCCAGTCCAACTTTATTCAATGCAGAACATTCTACGTAGGTTTTGGCGCCATTAGCATTTGCGAATTTGATGCCATCCTGTGATGAAATTGGTCGTTTGTTTTTCTCTTTCAGTTGATTTATAACGTCTAAATTGTTTCTCATGTCTGTTTTTGTTCCTACTAAAATATAAGAAGCCTTGGGAGATAATATCCGTATTTCTGTTAGCCAGTTCCGTTTGACATTTTCCAGTGTTTCCGGTTCTATTACACTGAAACACACCAGAAACACATCCGTTCCACTGGTGAATAACTCTCTCAGCTTCCGGTACTCATCCTGTGAAAAACAACAGTGCGTATTAAATCTGTTTAGTCTTTTCTGAGATCAGGTAAATTAAAAAGAAATGTTTTCAAAACTTCCCAACTGGTGGAAATTATTGACATATGATCAATATGAACATCTGGCACCATGCAATTCAAATACAAATACAAATAATCGACATACAAGACTTAGTAAAAACGTACGTGTTTATTTAAAGTGATTAAGCTTGCATTTATTACAAAAAGAAGATGGACCTTATAATAAATTTTGACATCAACTTCTTTCATAAGTTATGACAGTAGGGTGTGGTGGTGGTAGTGGGGGAGGGGGGGGGGGCAAATATTGGTAATCGTTTATTTTTTTTCTTTTGTCACTTAATCACGGGTGTCTAAATTTGCCCAAATTTTAGGTTTCAACAAACAGTAACTCTAGAAGATTTGTGATACCCTGATATACGTTGAGACAGATTTTTATAATAAAGAAAATCAGCACCACAGTTTAAAACTATATCTTAAAAATCCCGCTCTTCTTTCATCGATCATTTATTCAAAAGCGACGGAGCGAATGTTGAAATTCCCACATTTCCTGCATATCGAAGACCAAGTTGCGAAGAGAGAAAATGTCGAAGTTCAAAAATTCAAGAAACTAAATTAATCATGGATGTATAAAATTTTATTAGCATTAAAAAAAATGTTAACTCTGTAGAGCGAGATCTCTTCAAGATTAAAATGTGTTTTATATTTAAAAAAAAAAAAGATATCCCTAACTCTTTAAAATGAAGAAGTATTCTCGTTCACAAAAAATGTTTTTGGATAGTGATATACAACTACCGGCATATCTATCTAAATAATTATAAAGGTCTCTTGTTTTATAGATATACACCGAATTAACAGTTCAACAGCACACATGCATCAAATCAGAATATTCGGGATTGTAACCTTTATCCTGTTCATACAATACAACGACAAAGTGCTTTCTGTTCTCTGTTCGTAAAATAGAATAGGTTAGTCTACAACTTTTCTCTGTATGCTCTAAGCTATAGCAAAGGAATTTTTTAAGAGAAAGTGTTTTGTTTTTGTTTTGTTTTGTTTTTTTGATGACAAATAATATCAAAATAATTTATTATTGAGTAACCTATCATCACAAATACATTGGACTGTATATATTTCATTTTTCATCAAATCAGTATAATTGAATACCGAGGTATCCATTGAAAGAATACATAAAAATGTTATGTACATATGTAACATACCGGTATATGTTTTGTGTATTTTTGTTCAGTATAAAAGGTCGGTGGTGATGCAACTATAGCTAAACTACAATACTCTGATAAGAAGAAATTAATGAAAAATTTGTCTTGGAATTTTCTGGTGTTAATATGACAGGTAGCAAACGGTATTCGACATGCTTTTCCCATTGTTTTCTCTAGCACAGTCATGTCAGTTAACAAGTTGTGTCATTTTCGTGTGCACAACCAATCAAAATTGACCAACTATTTATTATACTAACTATGATATATTATTTTTGGTCATCTTTTCAGTGGTGGAAATGAGGGGGGGGGGGTGTTATATGTTCAAAGAGGGTAGGACAGATCACTTTTTAGAGTCTTTTTTTTTCATGTATATTACTTTCCTTATCATGGACCCGTGTGTCCTATAGGAAGTCCAAGGTAATTTTTCCTTAATTTATATGGATATTTTATAACTCTGAAAATCCCAGGGGGTCCCCCCTCCCCCTCTTAATCCGCGCATGATTGTAACCTTTTTGTTCTGGGGAAGATTTTTAATTCAAGAATTTTACCCCAAAGATCTATATATCAATTTAATGTAAACCCACCCTAACCCCAGAAGCAATGAATTTAACCAGTTTATAAATATAACGCAGTTTCGTGTAAAATTTGTCTGCTGGATCAGTAATTTTCTCAGAATATTTAAAGACAACTCTCTCTATATATCCCTGTTAAATTATAATTTGAACACACATAGATTGATTCCTTAAACAACTCTTTAAACATGTTTTCAGTTAAGTTTTGTTTCTAGGCCTTCACCGAAGTAGATTGTACTAGTATCCCTTTACCAAAGGATACATAGTGGCGTACGTTGGCCCGAGAGTTCGGAACGACGCGATGAAAAAGATTTGACAGAGAAAACTCATTTGAGCTTTCAGCTCAGGTGAGCAATAAATGCTTTTCAAAATAACTGGCCATTAGATGATTCTTAAAACACAGCAAATTAGCTATCTTTATTTCCATCAGTCAATGATGGAAGAGTTACACGTCACACCTCAATGCTGATGTAATGCGGAAGGTTTTAAACCACTTTGTAAATTTTTCTCCCGTTTTACTTACCTCGCCTATTGTGTCGGTCAATCCTAAGGTATAAGAGCTATCACAGACCTCAATGGTCACCGGAACTTCGTATGCGTCACTCCTACCAGCTGAAACAGAAGAGTGTTAAGTCGACAACATGATACAAACAAGAGGTAGCCAGTAAAAACATACTGCCCTTTACAAGAAATTTAATATCTCTTAGGCAATTTTTTGCATAAGAAATGTCAATTTTTTTTTATAAAGCATATCCACAAATTGGGTTATTGTCATTACCAACAGCTGATGTTATTCAGTGTATGAGAGTTTAACATTTCTGAATGGTCTGAAACAGTATATCGTATCGAAATCCAACTGTTATGGGTGTCTTCTGTTATTGTCTAGTATTATTTCTGGCAAAATTTCATGAAAATGTATACAATACATAAAAATCGAGTTTATAATCGACAGACTAAAAAGTATCTATTGACACTCTAGCATATATGTACCAATTGAGAAGAGATATATTATAAGTACATGACCATATATTTACCGACAGGCTTTCTACAGTTCCCACTTTCTCCTGTTATTTTTCCTTTATCCTTAGTTTCCCCACTTTTTCTTAAATTCCTCCTACAATTCCTACTTTTTAATCACAGAGGTAAAAGATATTGTATTTGAAAAGACCAAGGAGAAAGCAAAACTAAACTAAAACAGAGAAAATTAAAAATCAAACTGTGTGATTAATTCTGAGTGGTCAAACTGAGTGGTTTTACAGAACAAGACTAGATTTGTATTTGGATAGTTATAAATGATCTCTCTAAAAACCCCTGCTTTAATCTTGTAAGTTTCCTACTTTCCCCCACTATTTTGAATAGGTTACTCCTACTTTTTAATAGAATAGAAAGCCTGTACTGGGGTCCTGGATCGGAGAAATTCCATCAGAATCATAAGTCCCTTTGAAGTTGTGTTGAAAAACATGAACTTTACAGATATGTTTGCACCAATGCGGGTTATGACGAAAATATTCAAGCATGTAAAATTTGGACTGTGGCTATTGCCCTAGTCAACATCTTTAATCATCATTTCAACGATTCAAGAAGTAACTTTACACTATTTTGAACTCATGCACATTTTAATCCATCACTATCTTGATATCAACCCCTGAAGAATGAACACATATATGTGCACATTTTTATCTATCGACGTCTAAGCTGGCTTGAGGGGTAGTGTGACATATAGTAAAACGTGACACTTCCTCCATGATGTGTCATTTCTTGTCGATCATAAACTTGCGGTATCTTTCTCTTTTGTACTACATAAATGGTAATAATTAAAACTTGATTATTTACCTTTTATAGTACCACTTTCGTAAAGAGATGGGATCCTTCCGTCGGACGGGAATTCTTTGTTGGCAAACGTCATCAACATACAGGTTTTACCAACGCCACTGTCGCCCACAGCGGTTACTTTGATCTTTTGGGGGGCCTTGCTAACCTCCGTGGCTGAGGGATCTTCAGCCATGTTTTGATGTGAGCAGATTATCACTTCCTCCTACTTATCCATGTATACCTTCCTTTCACTCCGTACAATTATTATCCATCAACAAATATTTCCTTTTAAAATATGTATGTATCAATCACAAACTTGTTCCAGAAAAAAAAATCCCAAAGAGAAGTTTGGTTTATTTTCCAGTTTATTTCCAGACAATTGTAAAGGTTCTAAAATAGGGAGGACGTGCGATACAGTCACTAAACCTTCTGTCGCGTCTTTACTACAGCGCTCATCTAAGGACTGAACACTTGAACATGACCCGAGTTTTCCATCAAATAACCCCCGCGTCTCATCCTTATCAACTTCCGGAAAAAATCACGTGACTTGTACAACATATTTCCTTTAACACATTTACTTACCGAGCTAATAAAATGTTTATATACAGCTATTCTATGTTTAAGTTCGTTGTTTTATTGACAGAATACACATTTTGAATAACACACCTACATGTCAATATCGATAACTGATCAGCCGTGTATAATGGCTGTATGCTTCTCAATGGTTGCAACATAACGTTAAGAGAAAAAATAAATAAATGCACAGTTTTGTATTGTAAATTAAACCGAATGTTCTCAATTTTCTGTAGAGCACATTCTATAACATGATATTGTAATCATATACTAATACTTACTCAATTTGATATTTCATAAAAAGTGAACGGAAATAACAACATTATTAAGGAAATGTAATTGACATGACTGCATAATGATGAACTCAAATGTAAGTAGTTAAGTGGTAAATATTAAGTACTTTAGAATTAAATGACACTGGTTTCAAGATACAGATTAAAACTTTTTAGTGTATCCAGCTTAATTTAATGTAGAGAAGGAACAAAATAAAGGTTGACCAAGATCATGAAGGTAGTACTGCAAAGTAATGATTAATAAATTAATTAATCTGTTAAAATAAACAAAGTTGGAAAGTTTAACAGTGTCTTTAATCAAATTTGAATGCCTGGCACTCATTATTTCACTGTCCAGTCATATAAGTTCACTTTTTCACTGTTTCTAGTATCACAGAAACGTCCATTTCTGGAAGCTAGAAAGTAGGGATTATGTACCACCAGATGGAGGCACCTTGCATTCACCCCTGGGTGGCAGCACTATCAGGTCTGTCATCTGCTAGGCTCTTGTACAGAACAGTTTTCATGGCAGTCATTACAGTGACAGTGGACAAGACATTGGTGGCGGTTTCTTCATAACCCTGGTCCTGTAAAATCTTCACCAAACTGTCCCACTCATCTGTACTGGTTTCAAGGTCATCTAGTACTGCTGCATGAAACAGACTAGTGTTTGGATCATCTGCACAAATGCAAAAAAAAATATTCTATACAGTATTAACATCTAAATTTTTTAGAAGTTTTCTTAGCAAAATATTGCAAGCAAAGTCAAAAATGAATTATTTCAATTCTCACCGACTGTATTTGTGTTCTGTAATTCTTGAATAAATGGTAAAACCAAATCAAAGCTATTATTTTCTAGCACGGTCAAAATGACCACTCCAATAGGTAAAGGTCTTGATCCCTGGTCATCTTCTGCCACAAGGGCTTGCATAAGTTGTAAAGATGGACACATCCTTAACACCTCAACATACATCTCCTTTGTAAAAGGAGACCTACAACAAAACATCAGATTTTACTTTACATAATTAGCAAAGATATCGCTTAGACTTGCTGGTAACAAAATAACTGTTGAAAATTCATTATTTTTTAAATGTTCCACTGTAAAAGACTTGACTTGCCATAAGCCTGGCAGAATAAGTACTGGTAACTTTTGCTTACTTGTGTTTGGCATACTCAATTCCTGCATGGACCCTGCCCTGCTTCAGGAGACAGATGATGGCCTGGTGATGGAGGTGGAGTTTAGTGTAGACATTCTGAGCTAGGGCCTGGCAGCCACACTTACAGGGTACCTTACAGCTACAGTGTTCACTTATCAAGTCTCCGATCTGATGACTCAACATCAGTCTTTACAAAGAAGAAAGAAAGAGTCCTTTAAAACAAGCTAGGCTAAAATTTATATATAATATAAAATAGCTAAGTACCCCCGGTAACAGGAACAATGACCTTAGAACATTTTCCAATTAATACTAAACAGCCTACAATAATAATGGTGTATTCTCAAATTACAGTCCCTAGAAAATATCCAGTTTAAGTTCTCACCATTACTACAGAAATATACTAGGAAAAAAAAAGAAGAACTTTTGAAGAAACTCCACATACCTATCCTGTGATATCCAATGAGACAAAAGATCTAGTCGGTTTTCATTTAAGGCACACTCTACACATTCTGTAGAGAGTCCACTTGCTAGCTTGGTCCCAACAGCTGCTACAGAGGCCATGATGGCATCACAGAAGGCCAGGAGGGGAGATCGGTGGGTCAGTCTAACCTTCACATCTATAAACACATACAAGATTGCATCTACATATATATTTCTAATTCATTTCAAAAGTTATATTCTGCATTATTGTTTCATCTGCCAAACAACAAAGATTTCCTTCTTTATTAAATGTAGCACTAGGACAGATAACAAATATTTTCTGTATAGCACTTACTTAATTTTCTATTTTCAAACATATAGTTGCCTACTTTTCTTTTTTTTCCATAAATAATTCTTATTTCTACGTAGATGCAAGGCAGGAGACAAATATCACTGTGTGATCATAGAGCCAAATTTCAGTATCTTGAACTTGATGGGATTGACACAAACGTTAAGACATTAGAGAGTTTCAGATATTGAAATTCAGATTTGAATTTATAATGGAGTCAGGGTGAGATATTCAACACATCTAGATGACACCATTACATTCCACACATCAGTATTCAAGATATCAAAGTTTAACTGTACATGTACATAGTATTTTGAAACAACAAGAAATGAATGTGTGTAAAAGCTTTGCAAAATAAAAAATCAGGGGAAAAGTGAAAGATTAATTTTGGCAATCAAACAAGAGTATTTCTCCTTTAAGGTCAGGCCATATAAATTTTATCAATTCAATGTCACATTTACTTGGTATTTTGTGCATTAAACCAAACATATCTATACATACCCTTAACTCTCGTCTAAGCTTTAATATGTAATCATCTTGATTTTACACCTAAATACAATTTCTTGACTAGCTCATTAAAAAATTAAACACCCTTTTAAAATATATTCTGTCTTTAAGAAACCATACCTTAGTTGTTGCAAACAATCCTTGATAAGAAATTTAATGTGACTATTAAGTTAGCTTGTGCATTCAAAACTGGTTGACATAAAACAAAGTTGAGAGGATTAAATAACATGAATAAATACCCACCGTCTTTCTCTGCTGAAAACAATAAAACAGGAGAAATACTGAAGCAACTCTTACTCTATTAATCCAAACATGCACCCAGAAATCAATACTACAAGGTGCATTTTTCCAATCAATTAAACTGGTCTATCTCAGAGGTACTTTTTCACACACAGAGCAGTTTAGATCAATGTGATTTGCAATAGTTGCATATGGCATTTTACTTAACTATTGTTCTTTAAAATTTAAAGGGCTGTTATAAATCCACAGATAACAATCAGGTGGATTTAAATAGCATGAAGTAAAATACATGTGTATTTGTACCCAACCCAGCTCAATAATTAAATGGAGTTCTCAATGTACTGTTGCATTCTGGGATGAATTACTGAATCAAAATTAAATGCCATATATTAGCAAACTACTTTGTTGTAATTATTAGGGTTATGCAATATGAACTCTTTCTTCCTCTCTTTTGTCTTTATAGCATAGGGTATATGAACTATCATTCAAAAGCTCTGAAAGTTTGCATTATAAGCAATAGTGATGGGACATCGGTTAATTTTCACAATTGATCATCGGTTGGAATCGGTTAATGCTTCCGATGCGATTTTACCGATTATAATCGGATGTTATAATTTTGTATATAAAAAGCAGACTATTACAATTATTTCATATTTTTTCTTTAACATGAATATATAAAATATATAATATATTGTTTTCTTTGTTTTTCTGCTTCTTTTACACTTTCTATATATGCACCTTTTGGTTCTTAATCACCTCTGCTTCGTGCTAGTTGGCTAGTATCAGATGCAGACGCCATTTTCTTTCATTAAGAAGAAATAAATTTTAAACCAGAAATGGATAAATCCTGAATGTATTTTATTAGAAGTATGTTTCCGATGATCGATTATGAAAAATTATAATCGATCATCGGAATCAGTAGCATTTTTTCGTCACCAATCAATGTTTTCTGATTACCGGTACAACACTAATAAGCAACATGAAAAAAGTGAAGATAACAGTGATCAATCTCAATTATCAAAAAACAATACAAATCTGTGAACAGGACATAAAACACAAACCTCTGGAAATTCCAGAGGTGGGATCAGGTGCCTAAGAGGAGTAAGCATCCCCTGTTGAGAAGTCACGTCTGCCGTGAGCCCTATGTATTGATCTGCTTGATGTAACATTCCAAACAATAAAGGGACACAATTAGTACCCATCTGAATTCCAACAGCTTGCTTGTCAATAAGGAACTCCAGCATCCTTTTAATATCAACTTCAGAGTACTTTTGTGTTGAATCAAAGTGATTTTTAACAACATGCAGAATTTTCTCATCCCATCAACAACTACTTTAATTTGAATAATACCTTAAATTTCAATAAATTTTGAACAATTCTCAACCTCCCCTCTCCTTCCTGCCTACCCAATTTTTTTCATCCTGAGTCAGGAGCAGCCAAATTAATCAACATTTTTTTTTTTAAATGGCCTTACTCAAGAAATCTTTTAAATGGTGCAAAACAAATATCAAAGAAAAATAAAAGATTTGTATTTTTATACAAAAAACATCTTGTTTATTGATCATGAATTGCAGTATTGCACACTGTTTGATTCAGTTTTACCTATCTTTTGCTACAATTTATAAGACAAATAATGATTTATCAATTAAGCATAGCTGTGAGTATCAAATTTTGCAAAATGATCCTAATATAATTACACTAAAGAGTACAATTACTTGTAGCATTTTAATTAATACACAGGCAATCATTTTATTAAAATTCATGAGGCTCCTACAGTACTTGTATTAAAATGGCTCAGCTTTAGTATGTGAATGTCTACTTTTTGACCATTGAATCATCATGAGATTCAATTTAGTCTCATTCATTGATATTTTATGCTAACTATAAAAATCTGGTAAAAGTTATCATTTCCTATTTAAGATAAAAATTATCAGCATCTCCTTTTAGGGACCCCAATCCATCATCTAATGATTTAAAAGCTTCACACCATTTATAGCTTGTGGTTCAAAACTTAAATATAGATAAAGCACCTTGTCAAGAGGCATGAGTATCATGATGTGATCTTGAAGTGTTTTTTTTTTTATTGAAAGTCTACTAAATGACTTGGTCATACATTGCTCTTCTCCAGAAATCCCTTACCTCTGAACTTGGCTAGAGTGGCAGAAGTCCTGAGGATTCCTTTAGGACTGTTGGCAGCATGAATAGCCGCCTCCTCATATTTCCCATCTTCAAACAGTTCATTGAATTTCTCAATATATTCAAGCATCATTTCTGCCTCTTTCTCCTTGTTGGGGTCATCATCTTCAAATGTGGTGGTAGTGGTGGCACTTGGAGAACCATCTCTCTTCTCTCCCTCCCCCTGATTCTGTTCTTGTCCTGCTTCTGTGTAAATTCAAATTAAAGATATGATTTTGTCTCTAAATAGTTCTGAGCAGATATAGATAACACTAAAATATTATTATCTTTGAAAAATACAGTAGGAAACAACTCCATCATGTTATACTGGATCCATATTGTTATAGGAAATAAGTTCAAATAACCCATCATATTAGGTCTGCTCAGTGGAATGTGGAAATTGCTCAAGTAATGATTTTAAAAAAAATGTTCATATAATTAAAAGGGATTCTCATGAATCAAAATATACAAATGACATTGAAAAAACAACCTTAAAAATAACTACCTTTCTCTTGGACCTGGAGTCCAGTAGCCTGTGCAATAGCAAATGTAACAGCATCCCCAACAGTTTGATGAGGTGGTTTGAAGCGGTTGTAGGCCTGAGCAGCCTCCACTGCTATTTTAAGTCTATATCTCTTGGCTCTGTAGATCAGACCTTGACGTAACAATTGATCTCTGGTATTCACTTTGGTATCTAGCTTGTTTTTAAAGTCTACTTTCTGAGATTTAGGCACATATCTAGTCCTAAAACTTATGTTTAAATCTTTTAGCTGTCGATCTAATATATCCAAATTCTTATAGAGCAGATTTAAATCAGTAGCTTCCTCCAATGATAATCCTACAATAAACAAAGGAAATAAGTCAGTATTATAAATGTTTCTCTAGTGAGAAAGATTTTAGAGTTTTTTAAAAATTTGATTATTTTCAACCATTTCAATTAGTTTTCTAATACAACTGACAGTCTAACCTGGTATAAGTCTTCTGTCTTTTTTCAGTTCTCTCTTAGGAGGTTCTGCCACTTCCCTTTCTAACTCTTCTCTCTTTTGTCTCTTAGATCTCAGTTCCTGTAATTGTTGTTCCAGTTTTTCATTGTCCTTTTCAATTATAGTAATCCTAAAAAATACATTAAAATGTAAGAAATAAATAATGGTATTTATTTAACAAAACAATCTTGCACATATGCTAATGTTAAACTCATACTTCATTTTTAAAAATAGGTTAGCAAGTCAAACCCTTACTACAACTTTAGTATGACCTTCACATTGCTTGTCTTTCTACATTTGGACAATCAAATAAACTCAAGGTCAAAGTTCTATAGATACCTCTCTTCAAGTTCATCGGCTCTCTTTTTGTAATTTCTAATGGTAGATGGTTCAGAGGCCATGGCTTTCAGTTTGCCATTTAAATATTCAGTCTCTCGTTGTCCCTTTCTGATTGAATCAATAGTGTATTCATATTCCTTCTTGATGGATGTTAGTAAGGGCTTATATGCTGTCACATACTCAATTATCTGAAAACAATTTAAAAACCAGATCTGAAGTTCTTGACCATAATTTCCTCATATATTCAAAATACAAAAGATCTCTTTCTCACAACTGTAAAGCTCAAATCAATTAAATTATGTTATAAAAATATAACAGAGACTTTATGAGTTTGATTTCACCTTTTTTTTTCCAGAAAACTTTTTCTTTCTAAGTTATGCTTATTTTTCTAACCTTGTTAAATGCATTCCTGTATATGATGTATCTCTGCTCTGCCTCCTCACTGCTCACTTTCTTTATTTCATCTTCAATATATTCATTTAAGTCAGAAAGGAAAACACGATCACATTCATTGGTAATGATTGGAGGAATTTTGGGATAGCCCCCAGGTGTTGATGCACGACTAGATACCTGACTCTGCAAATGAAACAAACAAAAGTAACCTGAGCAATTCAAAACAATACATGTATTTGAACTGGAAATAATAATCTATATCAAATAAAATAAAGACATTCTACAAATCTTACATATTTATTTTAATTCTCTGTAAAATCAATTTCCAATATTTTAAAATCTACGTTAGATGCTCTAGAATTTCAAGATCATTAAAATGACACATGCAGACTGTGGTCTGGTTGACAAGCATTAGTACTGTATTACAATTGGTGTTGAATCATGGCATTTGAAATGATAAATTTTTCTGATTTAGACTTTTTACTTCAATCATCATTAAACTACATGACCTTATGCTGTTGCGTTAACATGTAATAAAATTGAATATTATTAATATCTTGTGTAAAATATCTGTTTAGATCTGCCCATGTGGCTACAGCGACAAAATGTAAGAAAGAAACATGTCTTCAGACTTCCTATTAAGTGTGAATGTAGTCATGAAAATCTTAGCGTTTTGGGGGATATCATGAACTTGAACTACAACCTTTCGAACATTTGTCAAGAATACTAAAAATTAAAAAAAAAAAAAAAACAAGAGGTTTTTTTTTTAATTTCCCTCTTTAATTTAGTAATTAAAATATATTTTGACTCCATGATGTGGACCAAAATCTAAGTTAAATCAACGAAACATTGGGATATTGCTTCAATATCAATACCATTAACATGGTCATGCTGTTTTAGATAATTCTTTTCTTCATGCATTATGTAAAATTTGGATCTCTGAAACTGGCTCAAGTATAACCCCAAGGCTCATTATATACATATCTTATATATGTCTTGTTTATTAGTAAGATTTAGTGTGATCTTGCAACACTTTTTAAAGTTTTCTTTCTCACTGATGTACTGTCTTGTAAAACTCTGATCCCCTATTGCAGTCTCAACCTATTAGATCTGAACAAATGACTTGAGGATGAAATACATGTATTTGTAATATTTAAAATTAGTAACAACTGAATGAAGAAGACATATTAAAAACAACATTTACATACAAGTAAATAATACAAAGAATTTTTTTTAAATGCTCATCACATCTAAGCTTTTGAAGTGGTTGCTTTAATGTTCTAGCTTGGAAGCAACAATTGTCATTGTTTGTTTAACTGCCAAATAGAGCAAACAATATCTTTAAACAATTCAGATCTAAAACTAGTTTGTGTTTCTTTAAACATTAAAGGTGCTTGGACACAGATTTGAAGTTAACATTTTCTCAAATTTTCTGCATAATTTCATGACTTATATGTTGCTATAGCATTTCATACTAAAATATAATAAAAATCTTATTTCATCTCGAAGTTATTGAAACTTCAAATTTATGGACGCATTTGATTGACACATCCTTGCACTTTCACAAATTTTAATTCTATTCTTAATACTTAAAAAAAGTGGCAATTTTGTTGTGTATTAATGAAAAATATTAAAACTATAATCCAGAAAAAATTCAGAGTAGAAATGTTCGAAAGCAAAATCCACTCACAGTATTGTCAGTCCGTGCTCAGTGGTGTGTGCAGACTATAACAATTGAACACACCCGGTGAATCGTAAACATTAACAATAACAGAGCTCGTGCCCTGTTTACAAAAACAGTTTATGTTTCACGGGTGTATTCAATTTGTTAAACTCTGTTCACAACACTGAGCACGGGCTGACGATATTAGTGAGGGGGGTTGCTTTCGCACATTTCTACTCTGAATTTTCTGGATTATAGATGTAATGTTTTTCATTAATACACAAAAAAATAGCTTCTTTTCTTAAATATTAAGGATAAACATAAAATTTGTGAAAGTGCAAGGATGTGTTAATCAAACGCGTCCAGGAATTCGTAGCTCCAATAATTGCCAGATAAAATAAGTTTTTAATTATATTTTCGTGTGAAATGCTATTGCAATATATAAGTCGTGATATTATACAGAAAATTTGAGAAAATATTAACTTCAAATCTGTGTCTAAGCACCTTTAAGACTTTTATTTTCTGTAATGGCCAAAAGCAAAAGTAGAGTTGCAAAAAAGTATCAAATGAATGCTGATTCCCATTTTTACTTTAATGAATGACGTCAAAAGTTTTAATCAAGCTTCTAACTGTAGAATTCTAAATTCTATCTCAGTCTTCTTCTTTTTTTTTCTTTTTTTTGTTGGGGATGTCATTGAAATTTATCTTAACTAACGTGACCACAGAGACTCAACATTGGTACAAATAAAAAAAAAAAAACAACATTTGTATGCTCCAAGTTCCAATCATAATATAATTCTTAATAGCCAACAAGATCTTATGACCCAGTGGCATCAAAAATGGCTACCAAAGTGAACCAGAAATGGATTTTGTAGAAAAGCAGTACATTTTTTTTTAAAATAAAAGCAGATGGTGAGAGATGGTTCCAGTAAAAAAGTGGTTACAGACTTCTGTGTAAAGTCCGGTAGAGTTAACATGTATTATATCTCCAATCATTGTATGCTTGATTTAAAAACCAAAAAACACTGCAACCATGATACTAATTCAAATAAAGTCAAAGAGTCTCATCAAGAATTACAATTCATTCTTAAGGCCAAAAAAAATAATAGTCTTGTTTCTTGCTACCCGACCTACCCTATTTTTTTGCACCCGACCCTAAAGTTGTTTTTTTTTTAGTTTTGGAAGAAAAGAAATTGGGAATTTCCAGAATTTCATCATTCTGTCACTGTAATCGGTTTCCGTTGTTAACACAAAACAAGCATTTCATGAAATTCTTGTTTTGAATATGGACTTTCATAAAATACCATTTGAGTTGTGCATAAAAGGACATGAAATTTAATTTTAAAAGACAATATTGACCTGTGACATATTTAATTTGATCTTTTATTAGTTCATATCCAGAAAATGCCATCGGAAAAAAATAAAATAAAAAAATAAAATAAAATAATTTTCCTACCTACCTACCCCATTTTTTCAGGCTGGTAGCAGGAAACAAGACTATTATTTTTTTGGCCTAATTTGATTTTTTGCTACCATATACCAATTTGGGCTGAATCACTATATGGATATATCAATATGTATCAATATTCAAGAGTGTATCATATTGAAATATTAACTTTTAATATATATTGGACAAGAAGTTTGTTCCTAAATTTTGTGTAAAAGTAGGAAATTTCAATCACTAGGAATTAGACTGTTTTCGAAATAAAACATAAATAATATGAAATAAATAAAAAGCAGATTCATTGCACATCTTAAATAATTATTTCATTTATACACTTTAACTGCACATCTACAAGTAAGTTTTACAAATGTTTAAAGTTTTGTTTTGAAGTCTATCTTTAAATGATGGTAAGAAAAGAACTACAAAATTCATAAAATACTCAGTTCTGATAAAGTATATGCATTCAATAAATAGACAGACTTTATCAGAACTGAGTATTTTAAGATACAAAAAATGATTTATCGTATCGACAGTTATTTACATTTCGAACAAATAGTAATAATGAATAAAGACGCACCATTTCGGTTTACTGCTATCCGCTGTCCACCATATTTAAACAAGTGGTAGGCAGGATGTGACGTAATTTTTCTATCTGAAGGGGCAAACTGTTTTCGGATAAAATTGATTAGGAAAGTGCAAAATTCAAGTGAGTTGAGAAATTCTGTCAAAAGGACTTATTTGAAAAATTGTGAATATATTAAACTTTATTATAGATAAGGAAATCGTCTTTGAAAATCTTGCTCGAATAATTGTTTAATTATTTTTCTTTTTTTCCGGTTTAAAATATTTAGATTTTCTCTATTTGGTTCTATTACAAGAAAAGATGGAGGAGATTGGCTTGCAACCACAAGAGAAGGTACCGGTTTTGCCTTTTTTAGCGTAATTCAAGTTAGATATTACTTTGTATATACATTTAAGTATTGTACAGTATCTACGAGACCTACAAGATCAGTTGTTTTATTATTTTATATGATAAACAAAGCTCTCGCAGATCTGTCAACAATGCACATGTTTGAAAAAAGCTTTGTCATTCTGTCCACTTTTATGTTATTTTTTTCAGTATCAAATTTATTGTCCATAAAAATGGAATAATTTTGATTTTCCATCAATGGGTGGAGGAGGAACAGGTTAAGGTTTGATAGGAGGCGGATCTAACAGAGAAAGACCAATTTTATTAAGTTTCGATACAGGTGTCTAGAATTTTTTTAAAAGCCAGTTGCCCACGGGCAAGTATTGACTGGGAATCACAGGCACTTGTTTCGTATAAGGGATTAACCCCTTCTCTTTCTTTCCACAAGGTATTTTACTCAATTTCACGCAACCCCGCTTCAAGCTCATATTTTGTTAGTATATCAATCATTAACCTACTTTAAAATGACATTGTTTGCTTTGAGAGACTTTTTTCTTGTCATATAAATCCTTTCAGACATCTCTGGTTGAGTCTCTTTATTGCTAATCACTCATTTATTCCTAGAAAATTACCTCAATGCATTTTAAGACCCAGGGTTATAAATGTAGGATAAAACCAGAGAATCCGGGATGTTTTGCGCCGATTCCGTTTCACACTGAGATGGTTCGCGCCAGGATGATTCGCGCCGAATTCGGCGCGAAACACCTCACGTTTTATTTTGAATATTTCATTACATTTTTATCTGTTTTAAATTATTTATCAAATATAAGATATAAATATGTTGTGTACTCTAATTCATGACTTAATGACATGCACTGCCATAGTTAACGGATCGTACGGTGCCCGTTTGCTCAGCGTGTCTGTTCAACAATTCAACAGTGATTGAATGAGGATTTAATTGTAATAAGTTGGAGATCAAAAGGTGAGAATTTAAGTTGATGTGTGGGTTGTCCAAGCCAGCAATAATTACTTAATTAGATGGCGGTATTATAATTATCTACTTTATATATACGTAATTAGCACAGTGTTATTATGCTATGTATGTACACTTCAAACACAGACATAAATAATTTACGTCTCTGCTTCAAATATAATCTTAAATTAAAAAAAAATGTTCAAAAAATATCTATATTTACATATATTTGAAATGTAAAATTTTGTTAATTGAACTAAACTCAGTAGCACATTTATGTACTTGGAGTGAAACATCGTGGGGCGAACCATCTCAGCACGAAACAGAATGGGCGCGAAACATCTTGGGGCGAACCATGCATAGGTGCGAAACATCCCGTTACCAAACCAGAGACTTCCGATTTTTTTTGTTCTGAGGTCTCTGGTTTTGTCGTACACCATAGTGGAAATATTAGTAGTCACATGCGATATTTTAATTAAAAAGCTAACTTGTGAAAACTAAAATAGCTAAATAAGGCTACTTAAAGTAGCTAAATATCACTATGTACTGGTAGGTAATACGGAACTTTCGAGATACGCCGGAATCGTGGTTTACGGCTGACTTTTACACACAGCAGTCACGTGATAATAAGGAAATGTAGGGCATTGTAATGGCGAATGTTTACATCGCAACGAAATATTGAGCAGACGAAATTATTCGACGTCTGAAAAAAAGGAAGAACACAGATACTCCCAGCCACTACTGGTGTTCTTTGTCAGGGTGTGCAGCAGACGGGAGGCCAGTTGAGCCACTTATCCTTGGATGCAAGGCGTCCAATTTTAAGAGGAAACTCAAATTACGAAGGCAGCGGCCTCAGCAGGTCTTTCGAGATGAGGAGTTTTCCCCTAGACGATACCACTCCGTTTGTTCCCTACATTTTGTAGATGGCTGTCCCACTGAAAACAATCCTATCCCTACCCTATTTAGTCGCTACAATTTCAAGATTCCAAAATAGAAACCACCTCCATTGAAAAACCTCAGCATGCATATGCGAGTACAACCGCTATGAATATACATGTATACCTCTACATCAACAGAGAAGAAGTGTGAAAAGGGTCAATGTAAAAAAAAAAAACAGGGCCATCCAGGAAGCTGACTAGATTCGAAGAATTCTTGATCACACTCCTTAGAATTTGACTTGGTGTCAACACCTCTTTACTTGCTAACTTGTTTGGGGTAGCCGAGAGTCAGGTATACCAAATATTTAGCACATGGATTAATCTCATATATAGGGTGTGTTACTAAGAAATATTAGATTCAAACTGCAAGTTCACTAATTTGTCTAAGTTTCAAATAAAAATCTAAATATTGTTAATATTTTATGAATATATCTTAATTTTTTATTATATTACAAATGGTTTATTTCCTTAAATAAATTAATTACTGGTAATTGGTAAATATATTATATATATATATTTATTTATTTAGATTCACAAATAATATAATTCACACAGAATATTAGTATTTTGACTTTGAAAAGTATTACTAAGTAACTGTATTTTATATAGGTATTTGGACCTCAAATTAAATGGCCTTCAAGAGCACAAGTATAAGGAAATTCATACCACACTCATTCAAGAATGCTTTTCCTTGGACAAGAGTTCAGAGTAGTCAACTGAACAGAGATGTTTGTTCAGCGGCCACGTACCCCTAGAGCACAGCATCAAACATACAATAACTATAAGAGCCATAACACATTAAAGTGCCTTGTTGGAATCACTCCCTCTTGTATCACCACTTGACAAACGAATAATGATCTATATATGATGCATGTAATTGTACTATCCAAAGATGTGTTCATGAATGCTCTATGATCATGAATAGTAGCTATGCACATAATATGACATCTGAAACAAGTGCTTACATGTAAATTAAATCAAAAGAATAAGATCTTTTTTATGTATCTGAATGTTCATTCCATAAAGGCATCTAAAACATACCAGACCTGGGGTCAATTACTTTAAATGTAATGCATTAAATTACAATTACTTCGAAATTTTTACCATTACATTTACCATTACCCTCATTTAGAAAAGTAATTAATTAAATTACAATTACTTTGTTTAAGTAATGAATTACATTACACATTACATTTTATAAGAGAAAAACACAAATTTTATGACCACACAATTTATATCTATACTTTTCACACTTTGTGCTTGGTTGATATGCTTTCCCTCATGTCTGTAAGTCAGAGTGGTATTTGGATTTTGTATTCATTTATCATGTCCATGTAGTTTACCAATCTACCATGATCTACAGTTGACAAAGAAAGTGGATCGGAACACTTTTAATGTTGCAGTTTTGTTCAGTCTCTGATGTTAGTTCCTCCGTTTTTTTTTTAAAGAAATGTATTAATGTCACTTGTTTTGTGGCTTCTTTGAAACCCAATGATTTCTTCTTTTTTTTTCAAAACAATTCTGGCTTTCTTCAATTGATTTTATAACTGTCTTGTCAAGAAGTTTTCCATTAAAACAATTATTTACATGTAGTATGTCTGTCAATCACCACTGAATAAACATTTTTTTTTTTAAAGTAAGATATAGGATTTTAATTTTAAGACTTTAACATTATAAATAAAAAAAAAATAACCTCTCAGTGACCTTTATTTGTTTCAGATTCAATAATGAAGAGAGATTTAAAACCAAAATGTAATTGAAAGGCAATGGTCATTACTGACATTTTTTTTTAAATTAATGCATAAACATTACAATTGTCATTGAAAGATGAGTCCATTACACATTACATCCAATTACTTTGAAAAAATGTAATGATTACAATGCATTACCATTACCCCAGGTCTGATACAAACTCTAATGTAAATATTGTATTTATTTATGAAAGAATTTAATCATATGATCATGATGATTGAAATATTTTATTGTTTGTTCCTAATTAATATATTTATCAGTTCAGGTATTCTGCCATCAATAAATTATGAATATTAATGAATCCTGTACCTTAGACCAAAAGTGTTTTAAGTTTTTCCTCACTGTTATAATCAAGAATGCCATAAATTATTATGCATTACATGCTTATCTCATTTACAAATTTGTTGCTCTGCTATACTTAGAGAGACATAATTGCAACTTTCAAATGTTTGTCGAAGAGATATTCACATTTTTGTACTATTTCCTCAAATTTCAAAGGATCATAATGTATTTGCTCACAGAAAAATCCACATTTTGTGTAAAAACACAGGAGTTGAAACAATTTTTTTTCTTCAATTTCTTTAATAGAGTTGTTGTTCAAGGACTTGCATGGGTTGTTTATTGAATGGTGAGCGCTAACTTCAGGTTCTTCTCCTGTATAGTCCTGTAGTTTTATGCAATTGGCCAATACAAGATGAGATGACACGAGGCTTAAAAAATTGTCCCAAACACATGGAATATCTGTTCCGACTTGAGTGTGACAGTCTTTGTGCCTCTCACAGAATGAAGCCACAGCAAATATCGAAGCTGTACAGTGCTTACACGACCCATCATCTCTAAAATCAAGAGAACTTTTGTTCAAAGTGATGAAGTATTGAATATGAAATTCCATGACATGAATAGTGTATTGAGCAATTTACATAATCATAAATGCTTGTAGGCTGAGACAGGGCTCCCTCTGTGTATGTTTTTTTTATGAACAAAAAGCATTAGTATATCTTTATGAAATAACATTTTTGATAATTATTGCTTTAAATTCTACTGGAGAATCTGTAGTCATAATGTGAAAACCAGAATATTTACACTACATCCACCTTAGTGAATCTGTTCATTGCCCTCAACAAATATCCAGGTCTTGTACGGATCTGCATCTGGCTAGTCTCAGGAACTGTGTCACACTTGATGTACTGAAAATCATCAGACAGGGGGGACACTTTCACTTTATCAACGTGGTTGTTTTAGTCTGTATCCATTGTCTTGTCTCTGTCTATGTTTTCAACCGAGAATAACGTACTCCAGCCATCGTTCAAAAGTTTTATGAAAACATCGGAAATCTCAATGTTCGGCAGTTTTATGAGATCTTCAGACCACCTATCAACACTTGTTATATTTCGGAAAACTTTATCTCCAACAGTTTGACATCACCACCCTGTAGGCCTAATCATCTGCCACTTCTGAATTTCAACTCCCAGTTCACAAAGTCTTATCAAATGATGATTTTAATATATTGAAAAAGCTATTCCTTTAAAGGATAAAAGGTCTTTCAGCATAGGCACTTGCCAAGAATTGAAATTATAGTCGTAATCGCAGTCTGTATCTAATGACGCCATCGTTTACGATGAAAACGGAAGTAAACATGCCCTACATTTCACTTTTGCGTGATGTAAAAATCGGGTCGGAAACGTATCTCGGAAGTCGCGTATTCAAGCTATATAGCTAAATGTAGTGATTGTATTGGACCTGATGATTATTGCAAAGGGGTTATCTTCTTTACATACTGAGCAGGATTCTTCCAAGAACATTTTATTTTATTTTATGGCTGGAGTTTCTTACCTCTGAACTGTCCTACTTGAGGACACTAATTTTGAAACTGTCAGTGTAAAACTTAAGCAAAAAGATTTACACTAAATTATCTTTGTTTGCATGACTACTTGTGTAAGTTTGTGAATTGATCTATCATGTACAGCTTGATATTGTTAATGAATGAAAGATTATCGTGCAAATGCCTCTTACAGGTAAAACTTCTAAATCTGATCATTAGAATTGATTGACTTTTTTGTCATCGTATCCCTGGTTCATTGTAATCGTAATTATTTATGCCTCATTAATTTAAGGAGGATTCAATATTGGTGGAGTCCCGTCCAGGGACATCTCAAACGGCAAGTCATCTAGATCCTTTTGCTTCAGATGTGGAAGATCTGTATGTCAAATACAAAGTAAGTATAGAAAACAGCAATGTGGCAATAGTATATTTAATTCTGGTGTTTTACATAAATTGAATGGATAAAAATAAAACAAATCGCTAACCTGTAAAAACATTTTAATGTGTTTAATTCCATGTCTCTTTTTATTGTGTTTGTACAAAGTTAATACATATATTTATAAATCTATGGAATAAGAATCAACATTTATACATTTTATTATAGAAACTGCAAAGACAATTAGAATTCCTTGAGGTACAAGAAGAATACATCAAAGATGAACAGAAGAATCTAAAGAAGGAATATCTGCATGCTCAGGAGGAAGTGAAGAGGATCCAGAGTGTGCCTCTGGTCATCGGTCAATTCCTTGAAGCAGTGGACCAAAACACAGGCATTGTTGGTTCTACTACAGGTACCAAATTAAACTTAATCACAATATGTAAAGTATGTCACTCATCATTATGTTGGAAGCACAGACAGGCTTTGTTCTTACTGAATATTTTTTCTGTCCATAATTGTTTAAACTGACTATTTCTTTATAGGATCAAATTACTATGTAAGAATTTTGTCTACTATTGATCGAGAATTGTTGAAGCCATCTGCCAGTGTAGCTCTTCATAAACACAGCAATGCTCTAGTAGATGTATTACCACCTGAAGCTGACAGCAGCATCACTATGTTACAAGCTGGTACGTATAGTTGGTAATGTTGGTGATGGACCACAACAAAGTTGTTTCAATCCATTTTGATGTTCAATTTTTGTTACATGTATTATTAATCTGTAGATGAGAAACCTGATGTTCAGTACTCAGACATTGGAGGAATGGACATCCAGAAGCAGGAAGTCAGGGAAGCAGTTGAGCTCCCCCTAACTCACTTTGACCTCTATAAACAGATTGGTATAGACCCACCCAGAGGGGTTCTTATGTATGGTCCACCTGGCTGTGGCAAAACTATGTTAGCAAAAGCTGTGGCTCATCACACAACAGGTACTGATGATCTCTGTTGCAGAGAATTATAAGAATTAAAATCTGTAATTGGAACTTCTTTCATACATTATTGACCCAGGAACTGATTACATTCAATCTGTTTTTGTTTTTCTAGCTGCCTTTATAAGAGTGGTGGGCTCAGAATTTGTGCAGAAGTACTTAGGTGAGGGCCCTCGTATGGTCAGAGATGTGTTCAGGCTAGCCAAAGAAAATGCCCCTGCTATTATATTTATAGATGAAATTGATGCTATAGCAACCAAAAGATTTGATGCTCAAACTGGAGGTATGCATATGAAATTAATTTGTTTTTTTTTCAGGGGTGGGGGGGAGGGCGTTGGAATAGTACATTGAAAGACTTTACAGTAAATGTAAAGGGTCAGTAACATATTTTAAAAAATGATTACGTGTATATACAGTATACTTTCTAATATCTATAATGGCTTATTTAAACATTTAGATACCATTGGGCGAATTGCATTGTGTCATAAAAAATATCAGACATACCGATAATGTGCGTACGAATTGAATAATGCATATTAGTTGTCATGAAAAGACACTTGAAGTTTTAAGAAGATCTTTATTATAGAAAATATTTATCTTATTGTGGGTTTTTCATAGAATAGAATATTGTACTGTATGATTATGATTACCGTATTTACTTTTTATCTGTCACTATGCAAATGTCATTCATGGAAACCGTACTTAAACAGCTTTTGCTTATTGGGGAGGGAAGGGGGGATTCCACAAAATGAACATGAAAATAAAGCATTAATGGAATATTATTGTAAAAAGTTAAGCATAAATGTAACTGCAGATTCACTAGATTTGTTTTTTTAATGGGAGGATTGTTTTCACTGTGCTAAATTCATGTACATTACATGCTGAAGTGAAGTGTATTCTGTGGATTATCAATTTGGTCTTTAATTACCAATATGCTGCAGCATTAGATATTCACAAACTGAAGAAAATGATATAAATGTTATGATTTTAATAGCTGACAGAGAAGTACAAAGAATTTTATTAGAGTTACTCAACCAGATGGACGGGTTTGACCAGACAGTCAATGTTAAGGTGAGTGGTTTGTCGAGACTGTGTACAATGTGTTAAACATGTATATAATAAAAAAAGCATTCTCTTTTGTTTAAGTTGTACACAAGTGTATTTCTCATTTAATAATAGGTTATAATGGCAACAAACAGAGCCGATACTTTGGATCCTGCACTCCTTCGACCAGGTCGATTAGATAGGAAGATTGAATTTCCTATCCCTGATCGTCGACAGAAAAGATTAATCTTCTCCACCATTACCAGTAAAATGAATGTCAGTGAGGAGGTGGATCTAGAAGATTATGTGGCCAGACCTGACAAGATTAGTGGTGCAGATATCAATGCTATATGTCAGGAGGTAAGACAGTGTCACGATACCTTTCATTTATGTCATCAAAGTGCTGCTTTTTGTAGATATTGTAAACGGAAGAAATATGCATGAAGATATGTTTATTTATTAGTTTATACCCTTATCATTGAAAATCAATTCAGAATTTTATGTAAATATCATTGAAGTGCACCAATGCAGAAGAACTAGAAAAAAAATAATTTCCTAAGCAAAAAAGAAATTGGGTCATGACATATGAAATTCAACATTTATAGCTCAGACATCAAGTTCTTTAATGCCAAGATCACACTGATCAATGAATATGCTTGTCTTTTCAAAATGATAATTTTCCAAAGAAATGCATTTTATTTGAATATAATTATTTTATAACTTTAGGCAGGAATGCAGGCTGTCAGAGAAAACAGATATATAGTGCTGGCAAAAGACTTTGAAAAGGGTTACAAAAACAACATCAAGAAGGATGAAACAGAACACGAGTTCTATAAGTAACTTTGTGTGATGGAAAGAATTGCTGTATTATATTAAATAAAATTTTCAATGTGTATTGTTTAATTTTAAAACTTACAACAAACGATTAGTAATATTATTGTACTGGTTTAAAATCTGGTGAAAATTTGAAAACTTCCCTGTATCTCCCAGTTCAGATGAAGGGATACCAATCAGACACTTGGCTAGAGAAGATGCTCCTAGTTTTTAGAAGGAAACATTCAAGGTTTTTTTTTTACACAAAAATCCTAAGGTGTATCCAAACATATTCAGTAATCAGTGTTTGGATCGTTCTTATGTCTAATATTGTATATCATTGTGTTTGTAAACAAGACCACATTTTATTTTGTGTCTCTGGCTTAGTATGGTAGACACATGGGGATCACTTTATAATGTCACTTTGCCAGAGAACATTCAGCCCTCTTGTTCATAATCAGACTAGAAATATGTCCATAGGATGTGAATGCCCAGCCCAGGGTTCATTACTGATAAGTAATGCAACATGAAAATCTGTATTAGTGTAAATATATAATGGGCCGTTCAAGTTCAAAATCTCTCTGAAAAAATGTACAATAATTATTTGATATACTCGTAACATAGGAATACTTGATAAACGACATTAATAGCAAAACATATCAGAGTCAACAGGTGAAGTTAAGGTACTGCTTGAATTTAAACTTGTTTTTGATATAAAGAATAAATGAATTAAGATAACTTATACATTATTTGTGAATCTGTCTTGCACAATCCATCCAAAGATATCAGATATGTATATAAGAAAGCAAATGACAACTCGAGTAGAGGTCGTTCATTGGGAAGGTTCATCAGCAAAGGTTGTCCTCTGCCCTGAAGTATAGAGGATGATGCATTTTTGGAGATAACAACCGTTAACATTTTTAGGTCATCTGAGTCACTCAGGTGACCTATGGCTATGAGTTTTTGTCCGTCATTGTCCATTTGTACGGTGGTACATTTAGGACACGTAATTATACCCCCCGCAAACGAAGTTTAGGGGGGGGGGGTTATGTTGGAATCAGCATGTCCGTCTGTCTGTAGTGGAGACTTTGTCCGGACCATTTCTTGGAAACTGTTGCAAGGATTTGTGTGAAAATTTGTACACTTATTATTCGCCATATGAAGGTGTGCACCTGGTATTTTCATTATGATTGGATAATTTTTTTGCATTTTACAGGTGTTTTTTTCATTTTTATTCTGTGGTTTTGTCCGGATCTGTTCCCAGAGACTATTGCATAGATTTGTATGAAACTTTGTACACTTATTATTTACTTTATGAAGATGTGCACCTGGTATTTTCAACATTATTTGGTAATTTTTCTGCATTTTACAGGTGTGGTTTTTTTTTTTTTATTTTTATTGACTTAGTCATTTCGGGTTCATGTCTAAGGTTTGAGACATAGAATCTAGAACATCTGTACAAAAATGTGAACTACAGCTTAAAATACTCATTAGAACTAAAAAAAAAAATCACAAGGTATTAAAAACAGTTTTTACATAACACAGCAGATAGTGTAAATCCATTTGCCTCTTGGGAGTAATGAGTGGACATGCATCCAGTTAAAGATTAATTAATGAGTTCAGTGTGGGAAGCTGTTAGGGCATCTTTGATCAAGCAGGTCTTATCTATATCTCCTAGGAATTGGGCAGAAAGAAATAAAGATCTCTGTTGTCTAAGTCTCTTAATTGTAATTTATGCCTGTCAAAATACATAGTTACTGGAACCAGCCTTTTATTTTTAAAATGAGTTTGATATAAAGGTATTAAGATCAATTTGATTTTGTATAATTAATTATGATATTTTTTTTTAACAATCAATTTGCAGAGGGTCATGTCTCACAAAGATGGCAGATAGTTGCAAACTATTTTTTCAGTGTAATAAAAAACACTGTAATTATTAGCATTGATGTTTTATTAGGCTGCACCTTAGTTTCATTCATTAAATAAAGTGCCCCGCCACAGCATGATACACCCATCAAATATTGTTAAATTATATTATCATAAATAGTTTAGATTCAATTGTTCGAATGACATCTTAGCGAGACAAGGCAGTCTGCAATTTGTTGTAAAGATATAAAAATTAAAAAAAAAAATATATAATTAATTAGTTTAAATTATATTGTACAATATCATATAAGTTTTAAATATTATATACAATATCAAATTAGTTGTAATTACATCAAATTTATCTTGAAAATAAGACTAGCCAACCAGAACAATTCAATGCAACACAAGCAATTAAGAGACTGATTCCTTTTGCCCAATTCCCGAGAGATGTAGATAATACCTGCTTGATCAGAGATGCTCTACCAGTTATCTCCTCACACTAAACTCATTAATTTATCTCTAATTTGACATGCAATTTTCTGCTATCAAAATTTTCATTGACCAGTGCCTGATATTTACACCCATGGGAGAGGTGGAATTTTTCTTGTTACAGATTGCTGTAAAGAACATGATGAAAAAAATAAGACTAGTATTTTCTTGATTTAACACTTTTTAAATAAAGATACTGCAATACTCTGACATCTTTTGGGATTGTATAATTAAAAGGTTAGAAGACATAGTTTTTTTTTTAAATTTCAATTAAAATTAAACGTCACGTTGACCTTGAAATGGGTCGCGACACACCTTCTACCAAAGATGCATAAACTGGCAAAGTTTTATGATTCTAAGTCTAAATGGTTTTCTAGTTATGAGCCGGACAGGATTTTTCCATATTTGGCCATAGCATCTTTATTAAAGGTCAGAGCGACCTGGTTTTAATGTGGGACACACCTTTTACCCAAGATGTATCAGCTGACAAAGTTTGATAATTCTAGGCCTAATAATATTAAAGTTATGAGCCGGACACGAATAAGCTAACGGACGGACATGAACGCTATAACATAATACGTCCCGTCTTAAAACGGGCGTATAAAAATATAATGAGTTATTAAATTTTCACTGTAAATGTTTAAGCAAATTGTGAACACCTCTCACATCTAGAAAACATTAGTGATTTGGTACTTTCTCTGAAAAACCCAGCGGGGGGTATCTGTCCCTTTTGGACAGTTCTAGTTATTATTTTTTTTTAAGATACCAGGAAAAATTCATCTTGTGTAAACGAGATATATAATGTGAAAACGACTTATCATCTCATGAAAAGGACATATTATGTCGTGAAAACGAGATATTATCTCATGAAAACGAGATATTTCGTGAAAACGACATATCTCGTGAAAACGACATATCTCGTGAAAACATTATCTCGTTTTCACGATATAATATCGTGAAAACGAGATATCTCGTGAAAACATTATCTCGTTTTTCACGACATAATATCTCATGAAAACGAGATATTATCTCGTGAAAACGAATAATTGTCTCGTGAAAACGATATATTATCTCGTGAAAACGACTTATTATTTCGTGAAGACGACTTATTATCTCGTGAAAACGACATATTTTTTCGACTTTTAATTTTGTTAAATACATTAAACTACCTGATTTAGTATTTTGCTATTCGTTGTCAAACATGGATGAAGAGTGTACAAGAGAGGATGTCATTAAGGAATGCTTTCATCTTGGTTTCAGAGATCATTAAGAAAATATTTAGAAATTTCAGAATACAAAAACTACAGCTGCTTGATAAAAAATTGCCGTATTAAGGAGACTAGATCCCAACTAACATTGATATTCAGCACATGTATGTTATGTAGAACAGTTTGAACATAATGGCAAATATGGCCATAACTCTTTTTAATTTGGTCATCAGGAATGAAACTCAAAGTTGATCTGTATCTTAAGCTCATATCATATTATATTAACATATTTATTGTCATCTTTCTCAGTCACTGACAAATAGAAATAAAAAGTATTTCAGGATAGCACATTGTCTTGTCAGAAGGAGATTTAATAAAAAAAAAAAATCTTGACTTTAGCCCAAAACATTGAAATGACATCATTAATTGATGTAGCTCACAATACAATATACCAGTAGAAACAGTTTCTAAAATCTGCAAAAAACTACATGTACTTGGTAATGAAAGAAAGCATGATTCATATATAATAAGTATGTAAGTGAAATTGGGGAAAAATAAGCAATTTTGGGGGAAAAAAAGATTTTCTAAAATTTAATTCACACAAGATAATATCTTGTTTTCACGAGATAATGTCGTTTTCACGATATAATATTTCCTGAAAACGAGAAAATAAGTCGTTTTCACGAGATATTATCTTGTTTTCACAAGATATTATGTCGTTTTTACGAGATAATAAGTCGTTTGTATGAGATAATAAGTCGTTTTTACAAGATATGTTGTTTTCAAGAGGTTATATCTCGTTCTCACGAGATAATGTCGTTTTCACGATATAATATCTTGTTTTTACGAGATAAAATGTCGTTTTCACTAGATAATATCTCATTTCCACGAGATAATATTTCGTGAAAATGAGAAAATAAGTCATTTTCACGAGATATTATCTCGTTTTCAGGAGATATTATGTCGTTTTCACGAGATAATAAGTCGTTTTTACGAGATAATATGTCTTTTTCACGAGATTATATCGTTCTTACGAGATAAATTTTTTCCTGGTATCTTAAAAAAAAAAATTACGTGTCCTAAATGTACCACCGTACATTTGAACATTTTCAGCTTCTGCTCTGGAACCGCTGCAGTAGTTTCAACCAGTTTTAATGTATAGCATCTATATATGCAAACGAGAACAAAAAAAATTGAGTCTCTTGGCCTCTTCCCCAATGTGGCCTGAGGGGTGGGACCAAAACCCGGCGTCAAAATTATTAATGCAATCTTCAAAAATATTCTTTACTTCTGGACATGAAGCAGTTAAACTGTTGGTACGAGTGTATTGTAATAATGCAACAGGGCTCTAATTGGCGACTAGATAAAATTGACTTGGCGAATGTCAAATTCTGGAACTACCGGTATAGACATTTTCAACAACTATTTTTCTAAAGAGACGAAAAGAAATTTTAAACGTAAAGAAACTCCGATCAATTTTAACAATGGATATTTCTTTTCTTTGTCACCTTCATTGTTT